CTTAATGGCCATGTGTGTCCATTGTTGCCGAGTGCTGTCGTTGCTACCTGAAGACGGCTGGGCCACTCAATTTATTAATCATTAGGTCAGGCTAATGGGTAAACGATACTGCTGCTAAGCAGATAGGAGTGTGTTTCTGGTTTCTCCCCTAAACGCCTTCCCATGTTAATTTGGTAAGACAAACCTAGTGTAGTGATACAATCAGGGTGTTTTCTCTTCCGTGGTCGCAGCAAAAAGTGATCTTTATTTCATCATGTCTGTTAATGCTTAGCCTATTTCACACTCTCGTATGTGCAAGAGTGAGACGTACATACTTAGAGATGGGTTTACATGGTGTTTCTTAAAGGAGTAAGGGAGTAAGGAGTAAGGATCACTTAACTTAAGGAATATACAATAACGTTAACTGCTTATAAAGCAGTGCTTAATAATAGATATATGTACATAGGGCTGCTTGCTACACTAGCATTAATCAGTTATACGGCCAAAGTTCAAGATGCTCAAATGCTTTTCAAAACAGCAATAAAGTCAATTGAAATTTACTGAACCCTGCCAATAGCAGATGCGTATCTCAAGTTACTAACCTTTAAATCAAACGAGATGTAGACCGTAAAATATTATTTTAAGACCCCCACCAATTACCCAAATTGTTTTGCCCTTGATATATGCAATGCTTTGCAACCAAACACACAAAATTCAGCTCTCGTTATTCAGCCTCCAGAAGCGAACTCATATTTCCAACACTGAAGCCAAACGAGCTCCTTCGCCTCGGTTTCAATTACAGCATTTTGTTGCCTGCAAACAATAGACTTCGGCAGGACCCCCTCCCATTTCCATTCCCCATTACTTTGTACATATGCCACCATCCTGCTTTTCGCGGAAACGCTTACAATTGAATTGGGAGGAGCAATAAATAAGTTAATGAAATATTAAGTAGGAACTCTCCCTCTGGGAGCCTAATGTGTATATGCAGCGGTAATTGGTTCCGGCAAAACAAAAACAATCTCCCGACTAGTTGGGCATCTAAGTGCTTCTCATCAAGCAGATAATTGGAATGTGTTTCGAGCAACAGCGTTTTCAGCGGTTTGGGGCAGATTTATGGGGACTGCAAGAAATTCCCTTAATTATGACTGAGAGGGAGTCGCCAGTCTGGACGGCCTTTAAGAAGCTCCATCAGTCATCGGGCAAGGACAACAAGGAGATTCCTCCGGTGCTCGTGCGACTTATGAATAATTTATGGCTGGATTTTCGGGCTTTGTTTCTTATTGAAAAATCGGTTCCAAGACGACGCCTTCCGATTCCCTCCGAGGGTATTTTATATTTTTTAATATTATATCCGAGTCAGTGAACCATTCCGACTCAACAATTTCAATAATTACATAAGTGAATCACCTCGACAGCCAGTCTATCGAACCATTCGTCACGTGACATATACATTTCGCCTGCCCTCGAACCTTTTGCAACCCAAAACTGATATAAAATAACAGACGCAGACAATCGGCATTAACCTTGGCGATATTTGCACAAGTGCTGACAGTCCACAATACAAAAATAAACTTGGGAGGACAAAAAAAATGAAGATACAAAACGAATTCGTTTAATTGACGCATAAAACTAGACAAACTCTGACGGCAGCCCGAAACTAATAAAATGGTTGCATACTCTGCGGATCCTTCGACTTTTCCTTCGACTTTTCCGAGGGTCGAGTTCCAAAGTTTCCTCCCTGGTTTTTGGTTTTTATTTTTCACAGTCGGCCGGCCTTTGTTGTTTTGCATACCATTAACCGAACATGCATTATGCATAATCTGCAAATCCAACCTTTAACCGATCCAGGTCCTTTCCTTACCTTCCTCGACTTTTGCTTTTGAAGGTCAAAGTGCTTAATGGTTGCTTTAGGGGCCATCCGCATTTTCGATTTTCAAACCCCAAGCCAGAGGGTTTTCACTTTGTTTAAGGACCACGTAAAAGGTCCTTTTAACATGACAACACACGGCAAACGAAACTATAATGAGGACAGCGCACAACGCAATTGTTTGCAATTGTTTAGCAAGAACATCTGAATAACACACCCGCTTTTGTGAAAACGGAGATGTTTGGGTTGTTTGGTTTGGGGATTCGTGTCCTTTTTATTCGTTTATTTTTTGGTGGCTTAGGGACATTCATCAACCCAAAACTGGCATAAAAAATGAGAGTCGTAAACGGTCTGAAAGTTTCCTTCAGTTGTTTCTTGTTTCTGTTTTGACAAAAAAGATACAGGAGGCTTTAATTAGGGAAAGCTAATTAAAAAAAATTGTTGTGAAAATGGCTAGGAATACATTTTCATTAAAAGAATGTAACAGAAAGCTAAGCTCAATGCAGTTCTTTAAAAGTTTTTCGAGATTCAGTTAGCGAGTTTCGTGATGGGCGGTCGTTAAATCCTGCGGTCTTTTGGGTGACATTTTACCAAATAAAAAAAAAGTAAAAAGTAAAAGTAAGCATATGCGTGAAAACTGGGGGTTTTATTAATATGTGCAGCCACAGCTGTGTCAAAATTTATACTCGATAAGTGTTTTGTATTCACATAAAACGAAAAATTCCATTAATATTATATACTTTGAAATTACTAGGAAAGGAAAACAAGGACGGCTTTGAAGGAAAGTAATATAGACCAGCGCTGCAATTTATGTTCATTATATGCCCAGCTGCAATTGGCTGGTTGGACTGGGTGTAGTTCTCGAGTCCCAGACAATTTCTGGCTCGAGTGCCCCAAGGCCACTCTGGATAATCAGGGGAATGCCACTGAATTATCGCTCCTTGTCTGCACATCGATGACCGAGAATCCAAGCTGTGCCAGGGCCATTAAAGACAAGTGGTTACTCCGAGGCGAAATGAACTGCAAGCTCTGTGTCGAAGTGATAAATAAGATACGAGCTTTCTTTTGCTTGGAAAGGGTGTCAATATTGATAGCGGGAAAGAAGAAACTAATAAATAGTTCTCTCTTGGGATAAATAAAATGCAAGCTTTAGGAAAGAAGTTACTACAGATAGTGGTGTCAAAAAGATTACCAACAAGTCAAAACAATTATGGCAATAGTATTAGATGGACAATATTAATTTAACCCTATAATATCAGTGGCGGATCCACGGGGGGGTTTTCGGGTCCGGACCCCCCCCCCATGGGATCATATACTTTCAAATTTTATGCTTTTATTGGGCATGTTGGTGCAGTTGAAACACAAAGTTATTAATAAAAATTCGTAATTTTTTGAATGTTTTACACAAATTTTAATTTATTTTCGAATAATAAATCAAGAAAAAATATTATATATGATCCACAAACGGTTCTAGTCACTCTTAAATTTCCGAGGTTTTTCAAAAAACTTTCTGAGAATTTCGTCTTCAGTCAAAGTTATGCGATGATGAATGTTCAAAGATGCAAGACCATTGAGACGCTCTTGACCCATCGTGTTTCTCAGATAATCTTTCATTCTCCTCAAAGTCGAAAATGATCGTTCTGGAGTTGCTGTGGTAACGGGTACCACCGCCAAAACCCGTTGGGACAGTTTTAGATCAACCAAAACATATATTTCTAGCAATAGGCTTTGGGTCATATTCTTGGTTGAATCTAAATCGATTTCATTTAGCCAAGTTATTGGCACTTTTCACCAAACTTTCTTTGTAATTTGTTAAATATATATTAACATTCATGATACCGGCAATAAAAACTTAGTTCCCGGCCCCGGATGCAGCCATATAAGCCCAAACCATGACATGGTCACCGCCGTGCCAATGCATTGCTTTTAACTTTTTAGTTTCCATCTTCGTATTGGAACATCTCCTCACTTAGCGTCTTCCAACCAACCCAAAATAATTAAAAATTGATTCGTCTGCTTAAATTTCGTCGTTCCAGAAATAAATCGGCCGAATTTCTAACACCATGGCGAACTTGACCCAAGGCATCATATTTGTATACTTTTGAATATATTTTTTCATGCAACTTGATCATTAAAGTTATGGTGGTGCAATATGTTCCGAACTGTATTTGGGTGAAATTTATTGACAATTTCGATCTCAATCTGCGCAGCAATTTTTGAAACCGATAGCTTGAGGTGTTCTTTAGTTTTCCGGACAAAACAGCGCTTCTCGAGATCGTTGAATATTTGGTTTGGTGCAACCCGGCTCTTTTTTTGTAGCCCTTTCTTGATCTAGAACTGTCCCAATGGGATTAATACGCCAACACAGTCTCCAGACTTAAATTTTATTGAACAATTGTTGAAAATTTTGGACTTGGAGATTCGAAAAAGTGGATTTTCCAACGAAAATGACCTGAAGATTTCTTTACTGCAGAAGTGGGCTAAAATACCCGTTAAAACAACTAGAAAAATGTTGAAATCTTTATGAAATTAATTTAAAGCCCTTAACAAACGGATAGGAGCTAAAAAAAAGTTTAAAAATTAAGAAATAGTTAAGTTATTGAACATTAAAGTGCTTGCACGAAATAAGCTTCGACGTCAGAAGTGCCTCGTTTTTTTATTATTATATGAAAAGTTGTTTTGTTTTTGTAGATTAGTAAATTTTTCTTTGTCATAATAGTTAATAAAGAGTTTCTTTAAATTACTGCGTTAAAATTCCCCCCCCTTAAAAAATTTTGGACCCCCCCCTTATCAAAATCCTGGATCCGCCACTGTATAATATAGTTATTATCTAAGACACAATTAACCCCACAGGGTAAAGTTTGTTTTTAATTTTCATTTTAAAAAGTTGCAAATGAAAATCTTATATAGTAAAGTAAAGGTAATGCCTCGAACAAAGTCGAACAAAAGACTTAAAGCTTTAAATACACCCAACTTTTTTGTGTCGTTTATTTATATAAATTGTCTTTGGGAATTCTGTAATATTGGTAATTCTGCAACTTGTTTACCATTTGCAATTTGCAAATTTTTATCAAGAAAAACCTAATCTTAACCCAAAATAACCATAGTGTCAATACTCATTGCCATTTTGATCTCACCCTTTTCCCCACAGGCAGAGTCCCCGCTACTGCCCCTGAAGGAGGACGAGCCGTCGCCCCCTCGAGCTCCGAGTTCCCCGCACATATCAGCCAGTAGGTCACCCCACCAGCTCAGCACCCAAGTCGGCGACCTCGAGCCGCACCCACCACCCACTTCCGCGCCCAGCGAGCTCACCCACCGCCCCAACTCCCTGCCGCCCAGCAGCGAAAGTCCGGGGGAGAGGCCAACAACAACAGCACTAGCAACAACAACAACAACCATCACGAGGGAGCGTTCTACAAGGACCTCACAGGCAAGGAGCTCCCCCAAAAACGGGCAGCAGCACGAGTACCAGCTGTACCCCAACGACACCTTCGCCCGACTGGAAGGAAAGGCCCCGAGGCCGAGCACCAAGATGCAGACGAAGGTGGACGCCGTGGGCAGGATCACCGGGCCGTGGGGCAAGTGGCAGCTGCGCACGGTGCTGCTGATCTTCCTCTGCAAGATTCCCTCCTCCTGGTTCATGGCCTGCATCATTTTCACGGCTCCGGCGCCGCGGCACGGAGAGTTCTTCTGCAAGCCGCCGAACACGATCGGCGCCCAGAACCAGACGCAATGGATCAAGGTGTCGCATCCGCAGAAGGAGGAGAGCGACGACCAGGAGTTCAGCATCGACTTCTGCAACGTGTATCAGGACGCGCAGGAGCACGCCCACCACTACTACAACTACGAGAACAGCGATCAGGAGCCGCGCGTGTGGGAGAAGCCCCTGCACCGCAACTCCAACGTGATCCCCTGCACCGAGTTCCAGCACGAGTCCGACTACCACTCGGTGGTCACCCAATACGACCTCGTCTGCTCCCGGGACATCCTCGTATCGGTCACGCAGTTCTTCCACCTGTTCGGCGTCCTCACGGGCGGCATCCTCGCCAACCAGCTGCTCAAATAGTAAGTCCTCGCATTGGCCAGCATTGAATGGTTAAGTTAACAAAAAAGCAAGGAGGGATGTTTGTTGATTTATGTATGTTACTTTTACTCTAAGGGGAATTAAGTACTGTAGTGATACAATCAGGGTCTTTTCTCTTAGGGTGGTCGCAACAAAAGTGATCTTTATTTCATCATCTCTGTTAATGCTTAGCCTATTTCACAGTCTCGTATGTGCAAGAGAGAGACGTACATACTTAGGGATGGGTTTACATGGTGTTTCTTAAAGGAGTAAGGGGGACATAAAGGATGAATTAACTTAAGGGATACACAATAACGTTAACTGCTTATCAAGCAGTTCTTAATAATAGGTATATGTACATAGGGCTGCTTGCTACAGTACATATGTATGTATGTACAAAACACCAATCTTAATAGAACACACCGTTAACAACAACAACAATATTTTGGCATTTGAAAAAAGTAGCAAAGTTCCGTGAACAATTTATTTGAAATCAACATTAATTCTGTTGTACTTCTCTTTTGCAGTTTTAGTCCGCGAAACGTGATGCTCTTTGGCATGATTTCGCAGATATTTTGCGGCAACCTCACGGGGCACGTGGCCTCCTACGAACTGCACGTGTTCTTCCGCTGCCTCTCCGCCGTGTGCTGTGCCCAGATGTACACCGCCGGCGGCCAGATCAGTAAGTGGGAAACCCTGTCCCCGGTGACTATATCCTATAGACTCTACTGTTCCTTTCCGATCTCCACAGTGGCCGACATAACCGCTGGCAAGTACCGCACCTGCGTCTCCACGCTCTTCGAGCAGTTCTGGTCAATCGGCGTGATGATGCTGCCCGGGGTAGCGAGCTTCTGGTCCAGCTGGTCCCACCTCTACATGGCCATCTCGTGGCCCACTGTGATACTCATCTATCTGTGGCAGTGAGTATAAGAATTTGAAAACTGGAATGTAGTTACCAGTTTAAATACCCTGAAAACTAGTTATTTGGTAAAGATTTTGATCGTTTCGAGTGTCGTTATAGCCTATAAAGATATAATTTCCATTTCAAAAAAACTAATGAAGTCATAATATAATATCTTTAAATTTATAAAATATTATTATTGAAGATAGAATGTCATTCTCTTAACTTGTTACAAATAAAAAAACCCAAAGGCATTTGAATGTGCTTAAAAAAGTCTAAAAATATCTTCCCGCTTCTCCAGTGTTGGTAAAAGTCAGATATACATATCTTTCTATCGGGAATCAGCCGTTTACGACATGTCAGCGCTCTCTTCCTCTTCTTCGAGCTAAAAAGAATGGTTTCTCACTCAAGATCATTTTTATACCATAGTCGATAATATAGAAAATTTATAGAAAAATCGTCATAGCTTCGATGTTGTTTAGCCTTTGTGCATTTTGGTCGTCATATTTGATGACGGCAAGGGTATATAAGCAGTATTTCCTTGAGAAATGTTTACAGTCCCTCAACAAACCGAATCTGTTATAAATAAAATTAACGGTACCTCACAACAAATCTCTTTTGAGTTGCATTAAAGAATAATATATATACTCTACGTAGGCTCGAAAAACACAGACTTGCAAAGTTTTTGAAAACCGTTCGACTTACATACATCCACTTTTTTGCAGATGGATTCCCGACTCGCCGCGCTGGCTGATCGCCCGCGGACGCACGCAGGACGCCAAGAAGATCCTGCTGGAGTGCGCCGAGGTGAACGGGACGAGGTACAACCTGCCCCACGACATCGACCAGCAGTTGGAGCTGCAGGCACAGACGGCGATGGACGCGCCCCCGCCCAGTGGGTGGTGGGCGATGTGGAAAGGCGAGCGGGCGGTGCGGCACATAGTGTGCGTGCACCTGGCCTGGTCGCTCTACATTGTGGTCTACTACGGCATGCTGCTCAACATCCGCTCCTTCAGCCGCGACCACCTGTACATCAACACCTTCGTGGCGGGCTTCAGCGAGATGATGGGCACCTTCTTCGGGCTCTTCCTGATCCTGCGGACCACGCGCAAGTGGTTGTGGGCCGGGCTTTTTAACGTCGTCGCGGGATGCATCGCCTACTGCGGCTGGCTGGTGCCGAAGCCCAGTGTGATCGGACTTGACCCGAACGTGGCACTGCTGATGTGCTCGGCCATGGTCTCCAAGATGGCCATATCCACGACGCTCAGTATTCTGACTACCTGCACGGTGGAGCTGGTCTCGGACGACAAAAAGAAAATCACCTCCTTCTCCACCATTTGCTGGGCTCGTTTCTGGCTGCTCGGAGCGCCCTTCATCGGGTCCACGGTGGTCTTCGGTCAGCTCATACCCCAGACGGCGTTCGCCTCCCTGGCGATTCTCGGCGGTCTGTGCACCGCCCTCATCAGTAGTCCCAGGACACATCCCATCTCAAGGCCATCTCCCGCCTCGCCGGCCGCTCAGGGGGCCCAAAACATGGCCTCTCAGTTCACCATCATCGACGGCATGGACAACAAGGGCTACACGCCCAGCGCCAAGCCGATCCACTCGAACAGCGTCATCAAGAAACTGACCACGCCGCAATCTAATCTACCTCCTCAACTGATGCCCGGCATTTGGACGACCAAGATCAACGAGGACGGGCCACCACTGTGAGCAGCGCTCCGAGGATAAAGTGTGTAAAAGATGAGGGGTTGGGCTTAAAAATCATCTTCTCAGCCAAGGTTAGGATGTCAAATAAGCTATTTAGTAAGGTGAAATTGGAAGAGCAGATGCTATTGCTAACCTCGGTTTGGTTCACTTTGGTGGCGCTGTGACTTGAAAACTGCAGTCTACAAATTTGGTATAAACTATATAATTATAGCCCGAGAACATTAGGGGCATATTTTTACAAGCAACTTTCCCAAAGGAAAATGGCAACTTAAGTCCCAGATATTTGCACACTAAAGTAGGAACTCAACTTTTCCCTCAAAATTAGGAATGCTCAAGCGAATTAACTATCTTAAGCACAAGAAGACAAAGGTACATTTTTAAGTAGGTAAACTCTTAAGCTTAAAGCTGTGGAATAGAATCTTTAACCAAATTCTTTGAAAGGGAATGGACGTTGGGAAACTGAAGTAGTAGTGCGATGAAACGGAAAACATTTTCTTTTCTTTTTCTCTAATTTAAGAAGTTAGTTGCTTAGGAAACCCGGAAGGCCATAAAAGCACTCGAGTCTGGGATTAACTTCAGCGCAGCCATAAATAGTAGTCTTCTAAGTAAGTAGGTCAAGTGTGGAACTCGCCTTGGGTCAAGCCCAGTATTAAGCAGTCACTATTGAACCAGAACAGAACCGCACCGAATCCAACCTCATGTAGAACCCTCTGCACAGTCAAGCCAACCTTCAATGGTGATCCTTCTAAAGGCCTATGGTTCCACATTTAAGTGATTGTGTTGCAAACACCTGGAGAGAATTACATGAAAAGACATATAAGAGTAGTTAAACAATAATTACGGATAATGATATGGACAGTTTTAATTAATTATCTTTATCAATGATAATACAACTACTGAATTGCATAGAAGAAAACAATAATTTTAGAGTACCCATTACTTACTTTATTACCGTTATGTATTATTATTATCAATTACCAAGCTAATTTAATTCGAATCAATTAGTAGTTTTTCGGGTCCTACGTACACACATAACTATGAATGTAGAATATGTTTAAAGTTGAAACCTCTAGTGAATACGCTTAGCAAAGTGTTGAATGTTATCAGATAATGGTTACTATATGAAAGGAAATGTTATACATGGCAAAAGAGCAATATTTTTCTAATAAAGCATCCCATAAATACAATTTATTTTCTTTAATTTAACCTAAAAGCATATATAACGATTTGGCCAAGTTTAAAATACTCTTTTTTACCAATGCTTTGAACTATGTTTCGTTAACCGTGCTTAATCGTAAAAACAATATCACAAGTAAATGTGTTTCTTTAAGAAATAAGAAGTATGAACAAGGAAGAATTCATTCACAATACACAGAACATTAAATGGGTTGATTGTTCTTTATTGATCTCCAAATTCAGCCGCATGAGGGGCTAAGTTAGTTTCCTTGTTTTTTATTCAACTCCAATTTAAGTGACTTTTGGGGTCACAAAACCCACTTGTGATGATTAGTCATAAGTTTCCTGCTTAATGGCCAGAAAACTTAGAATATTGGTGTCGATTGGGATGGGCTCCTCGTCTTTTTCGCACAGGGGATCAAAGCAGGCCGCAAAGTTGTCGAGCCCCACCCGGTCGGTCTCGATGATATTCAGCTGGATTTGGTTGAATCCGTATTCGATGAGGCCACCGCACTCCTTCAACGGCTGCACGCACTCCTGATTGAGAAGTATGGTAACCTTCGACCTGAGACACTTGCCAATCGCGAAGCCCACCACCCTCCAGTTCTGAGTTGGCAAGTCCGGATTGAAGAGCCGAATTAATTTAAGGATCTCCGCTGGGGAGGAAGGTTCCGATGGAATCAAAGCAGTTGCTCTGGGCCTAGTTGGTATGTCCTCTGCCTCCCAAACATCCAACCTGGCGCCTGGGTAGAGCTCCCCGAGCTTCGAGACCGCTTTCCTAAGGAGAGCAGCGGAACGCTGATTATCACACGTGAAAACTTTAACAGCGCCCTGGAACCAGCCGCAATCCCTGCACTTCGGTGGTGGTCCTGGGCATTCCTCAAGCACTTCCAAGGATACTCTAGCGAAAGCACTCTGTACGACTTTCCAAGCTTTCAAGGGGATCGTTCCCAGAGGGTCGCTTTTGTCGATGACTGCGATTAGTTTCCGGTTATCGTTCTCATCCTCGATGAGTGTCGGAGATGCGCTTCGGGACCTGTGTGACACCTCTCTTTCTTCCTTAATTGAGCTTCCACAATGGGGTGTTTCTTGCTTTATGAACTCCAGCGGGGGTCCCAGCTCCGGGCATTCGCCTGGTTCGGAGGCCTTATCAAAGTCTGGAAGTACTGCCCGTGCCCAGGCGACTTTCTCCTGATATTTGATGAATTCTTTCCTTGACACCATGTCCGACCTTATCGGTTCTTTTTTATCTTTCTTAAGAATGCGTCGCGCGTACTTACGATCCTGCTTACTACTGAGACGTTTGTCAAAATCGGCCGCGGAAGATTCTGTATTCCTTGATTCTTCGGCTGGGTGGGAGCTACTCGGGCCTGTGGTCTTGCGTTTACGCCCCATCGTTCAGTTTTTTTTTGAATTGATAGTAACTACTATAGGGTGCAGTAATTTATTCTTTTCAGCCGCAAAAAAACAGCAATTTGCTTGATTCTGAACAAATAAGATAGAATAGTTTTTTTTTTGCTGAGCTGTTGTCAAAGATTTGAATGAAAACACAAAAATATATTTCGGGGGCTACAAAAATATCAACATACTTAACTGATGATATTCTTCCTTTTTTTGCTCAAGACTGAAAAGCTGGCTATCTAATGACGGTGAAAAATTTATTGTTCTGTGCCTGCTTCACGTTAAAGCGCTGTCAGTTAGAAAAAAAAGATGGAGCTATTGACAGGACGTATGTAAGCATCGATTGCTATTTGCACGAACTATTGATAATACGCCAATCACACTTTCTCTCTGCATCAACGCAACTTATTTATAGTAAGTAAATAGGCTACAATAAAACGGAACATTTCGCATCCAATCTGCATCAATTTTGACATATTTGGGCGTTTTAATGCTTTTATGTTGTCAATATTGGATATGATATTTGGGTTATGGAATATGATTTTCGTCTGATTCTTTTTTCACTCTGTGTTTCATTTCCCGAACATCTACTTTTCATATGGTCTATATGAACACACCGCAATATTATTTTCGCAATTACTTGTTTGACGACTGTTTTCAGGAGGTAAAGGAAAAACTTATTGGGAAGTACTTTTCCACTTACAAAACAGAGGTTCTCAAAAGAATATATTCCAACAATAAAAACATGAATTTATTAATAACAACAAATTAATTTGTGATTTTTGTTTTTTATAGAAAAAAAGTTGGCAAAAGGGCCTCTTAAGTGAGCCTTTCGCTTTAGTATAAATGTTGTTATTATACAATGGAACAATATATAATAATATAAAACAGACAGAGAGTGCCTCACTCTTAGAAGCAGAATAATTCTATTATGTTATTGGGTTAACTCCGTTCTTTTAAATATGTTTTTCATATGTTTTTTGTTTTGCGAAATTTCCAAAATCGAAACTGAATGCGATCTAGGAAATTTAAAAGTTCCGCTATCTTAGTCGTGCTTGGAGTGTGTCGCGGCTAACGGGGGACGATGCCCTCGCTAGGTTAGGAGTAAGCATTCGCTAGAATAGGAGGGGGCACTCGCTAGGTCAAAATTAGCTTAACATTTTTTAAAAAATCCAAATTTGACGTGAAATAGCTAAAGTGCCAACACTGATTCTGTTACGCATTTCTGTTAGCTGTAAACACTTTCTGTACACTTTAAATTGTAGCGGCATTTTGCGCAAAAAAATCCGCGTCATCCATCTTAAATTAGTAGGCGATAAGACCTTTCCATTTGGACGCTATACATTGTTAAAACTGTGCAGTCTGACGAAAAGAGAGCCGTACAAGCTGGAATATTTGCCATGGACTTCGAAGGGGCTGACAGCGGCTTGGCAACTGGAATCGGTAGTCGCGGAGTTTTGCGGGAGATCAACAAAAACGATGGCGGCGTTAAGGTAAGCGGTGTGATCAGCTTGGAGGCGTGCCCCGGCCCACCGACCATGTGCGATTATGCCAAAACATTCACTCTCTGGCATGTGCACAAGCACCTCGTCTTCTCGGGTACAAAATGCTTCGATCGCAGGCTGTTTCTGCTATTTTCTCTTCCCCGCATTTCTACGTTGTATATGTTATTTACTGTCGTGTTTCACCAGCTCTGAGGCAGCTGTCGTCGACGAGAGCTCCCCAGTCGCCCAGTGCACGCCGGACGTTGTCCACCCCCAGTTGCCAGGTTTCAGATTAGCCAGTGCTCCACCCAGAAAATGGGCAATAAGCCGAGCAAGACAAAGAAATCGAAGGCTTCAGCAGGAAAAACAGCCAAAAGGCCGGACATCGGGTCAGGGAGTCTGGTATGCCAAGTGAAAATCCAACAATAGCAAAACTGAGGGCGCCGGCTGCCTCTCGACATTTTCCATTGTCCAGATGCTGGCCAATATTTGTATTGACCAGAAATAAAATGTATTATGTACATAGATCGCCAGACCGGCCATTTTGATAACGTGATTCATCAGGAAGTTCTCTATTGTGCTGGAATTGTGTCGGACTTACACAGAACATTGCAATGCTGCAGCTGGACGTAATGTCATTAAACTCTATTTCCCCATTTGACACCAACGATGGTCGTTGAAGAGGATCTGCAGATGGAGATTCCCCTTTTGCCTATATTGGTGTCTTCGCCTATTTATAGTTCAGTTTGTGTTGCCTTCTTCCAAAGATTTGTTTGCTTTTCTTTCTTCTATTTGTTGTTGCCTATTCGAACTTAAGTCAAAGTTTCGTATTCAACTTTTATAACTCGAGCCACCATGCGCCAATGGGTGATTTACGTCTCCGACTGTAAACAACGTATTCATTCTTGTATATTTTTAATATTTCAAACAAATCATTTTAAATGCGACAAATAGACCTTAATTGCACTCACTTTGTAACAGCTTGAAGTTTAAAAATAACTAATGCTTCATAAGAAACCTTTATTGTCAGACTGCAACTGTTTGAGATGATTACATTTACAGGCGTGGCATAATTCAACGCCCCCACATGTACATTGGTGTTGAATTCCCACTGGGTTGGGTGGCGGGTGATATCTTGTCACCTGTCTCGCACTGCTTAGCTAACGCTAAGGCCAGCATCGAACATCTAGCTCTTACCACCTCGTCATGGCCCATCGTGTGGGATTCCGTTTCACTGCTGGATTTTCTCGCCAAATATGCAAAGTCAGCCGTTGGGCAATGTGGAGCACTTCCTCGATTCGATCCGACTCGACTTGCAGATAGTGTGCCGTGATGCGCAACAATGGCAGTGGGATTGCATGTCACTTGGCATCCAGAAGGGCTACACCGAAAAAATGATATTAAATGTATGAATATGTGAATATTATTATAGAACAATTAAAAAAACACAGTTGAACTAGCATAACACAAATCTACCTGCATATACCAAGTTTTATGGTGTTATGACGTCCTAGAACATGCATAAGATTTCCGAGCTTGAGCTGGTGAAGTTTGCTCTGAGAAGGTTTAACAATAATTAAGAAAGCAATTAGGTGTGACGTTTTTCTAGATTTCCAGCTGTTTGCCAAAGATTTTATATATTAGCCGTCGTCTGTCGCCCTATTTTCGTATTCCCCATTTTTCTCTGCTCCTCTTTGAGTGTTTCGGCTTATTTGCGGTGTCTTGCATTTTTCCCGGCTGCCTTTGAGTCTGAACTGAGTCTAAGGCTTGTCTAGTTTTTCAGTTTTCCACTGCAGTTCAGATGGGAAGGTTGTCATTTGGCGCCCGCACTGTTGACGTTTCAGCGAATGACGTGCCACTTAAGCGGCTTATATAATTAAAAAGTGTTTGTTCGCCCACGCGGGCCTTGGCGATCTGCGATCGATGCAATAGTGACCTGGTCACCAATCAATGAGCATTGTCCGAGAAAAGCAAAAATATACAATTAGAACAAAAAAGTCAGCCAAGGAGGAGGCTACCGAATAAACTCAACATATCGAAGGGTATTGTGTTAAAACACATTTTTTTTAGTTTGAAACCCGATACGCTTGTTTATCCTTAAACTGAACAGTTTCACTTATTACTCAGTTTTACTGATGATTTATCGCTTGTTTATTAAAATAATTTTTAATGATTCAAACAATTATCCCAAATTTATTTGAGCAAACTTGCGAACCGAAAATTGGAAATTTAGAAAGTGGTTGTACAAAGTATTTTTTTGGCAATCTCATTAGTTAAGAATTTTAAACATAATTAATCAATGCTAATCAAAATTTTCCTATAACGAAAGACTTCTGTGGTTCAACCAAAAAAAAAATAGTATCATTATCCTAAAGTGTTGGATTCTCTAGGCGCAAACTAAATTTTAAAGAGCGGCAAGAGCCGCGATTAAGAAAAGAGAGAACTCTGCGTTGTGCTGATAAAGGGAGAACCGCCATGCGGCCTGCAAACGATCCCAACTAGCAGTAGTTCAAAAACATCCGGAACGTGTGTGGATGCCATTCAAACATTTCGCTCTCTCTCTGTCGGTTCCCACACTCTCACCCTGCCCGAAAACATTCGTGCATGTGGGACGCCGAGCGGAGCAAGGCAAATTGGAAACGAAAATATTTTTAAATTGATTTTAAAGACAGACAAGATCGGGAGCCAGCAAGAAGCGTACGCCGCACGGGTCGCGAGAATCTCGGCGGTGTTGTCGTTGCCTAATATAATAAAAGAGCGGAAGGCGGAAAACCTCAGTAGAGATTTTTCCGAGTAGGCGAGCCGAAATCTGTGCCACAACGGAACGGATCTGTGCCGAAAAAAGGTAAAAACACTAAAGGCCAACCAAGAAACTCGATCGATCCGTCTGTTTATGGAATCAAGTGAACCGCAAAGCAAATTGGAAGTAAATCGTGCGTGAGCGTCATGGACTTCATCGCAAACATCATGAAAAGACCTAAGAGCATCGCCACCACCGGTATAACCAGCACTCAGCCGGCCGACGTGGAAGCCACAAAAGCTGTCAGTCCTGATATTGATCCTCCCTCGCCAAGGGACAACGAAGGCGTTTCTCTTATCTCCACCGATCTGGGCACGCTGCTCGAGTCCGCTTCGGAGGACCTGGAGCGGTTGGAGGAGCAGCACTGCAGTCTGCTTATGGAGCCCATTGAACTTCCTATCGCAACCCCCGCAAACAGCGGTAGCAGTAGGGAAACCATCCAACAACTTCTTAGCGAGATAAACGTGAATCTAAACCAAGTCAGTGCCAACGAGATGGAGCACTTGCAGGCCATGAGTGGCGAGGTATGTCCCCGAAAAATACTTTGTGTGGAGAGCATGTCTTTTTGAAACGCACTGATACACCCTTCCAAAGGGCGTTCTAATTTGTGTTGGATGTTTTATCTTGGAGGAGAATATCTATTCTGATCCTAAGCGTTTGTCTGTTTTATGTGACCCAAAAATAGAGTTTGATCAGTTCTATAGAAAAATAAGTAGAAGTTAAAGGAACAGTTTCCAATCCATATACATTATGTATATTTCTTTGTCACGATAATCATCTGAATCGATCGGATTTCGTTAAGGGGTTATATACCTTTTTTTTTTTAAAAAAAACGAAAAATTTTTTAAGCTGAATCCTAAAGTATATCCCCTAGAGAACATTTTCCCAAATTTTTGAAGAGATCCGAATAATAGTTCGATAGGAAAACAGCGTTTTGAGGCGCGGTACGTCACTCTTTGTACCGCAACGTAAAACTTTGAATGCGATTATCTCAAAGTCGTTTTTTTCCAAAAGTGCCTTTGCTGTGACCGCGATTGCACAAGAACTATTTGATCGATCTTCTTCAATTTTTTTTTAAATATTCGTAATGATTGTGCCGAGTTCGTCATTGAATCAGTTTTTATGCGGCAATTTCGATTTTGCAGATAAGAAATTTTTAATAAAATTTTTAGAGCTCGAAAAATCAATTTTTTGAAAAAATTGTTACTGTATGCAGAAAAAACCAAATATTCTTGAAGTAATTCAATGACGAACTAGAAATAATACTAAACTAATAAAAATTTTTTGGTTTATTGATTTTAGTTGACCCGCTGGACTTCCATCGTGGTCACCGCAAGCCGCTATAACAAAAAAAGGGTTATGAGAGAATTGCCATAACTTCGAAAGTTATTTATATTTTTTTAAGAACAAACGTTTGTTGTGTCTATAAAAACATGTACTATCAATAAATAATAACCTCAGTATCATAAAATAATTGCTACACACCTGAAAAAAAATCCAAAGTTCCCTCATTTTTTTCGCTCAAAAAGGTATATAACCCCTTAACAAAAATATTTAATATTTTCGTAAAAAATTTATCTATCAGTACATCAGAAGCTGCCCAATTTTAAATTTTTTCCCAAGTTAAGATATAAACTTCAAATGCTCGTTTTATCTTTTTTAATTGTTAATTTTTCTCAAGTTTGCAGAAGAGACATTTTTGCCCGCTGCGAAACATAACATATTATTTCATTTGCTGCGCAATTTAATATTTTTCTTGTCTAAAATTAGTACAACCCAGAGGCATATATTTTTAATTGAACTGTATCGTTATTCTTGGGGAATGACGAAGTTTTCGATGTCTGGAGAGCTCAACAACTTTAAGAACCTTTTGTCTTGTCACAAAAAATAAAATATCAAAACCCTCATGTTTTCAAAAATTTGTTTAAAAAATATTTATAATTTATATGCTTAACATTCCTTAGACTTAAATAATTGAGGAATGAATAAAATATTTCCTTAAATAAATTTTACTATTAAGTTTGGTTGTGCATTTCGAGTTAGTTTACTTAGTTTATCCCAATCCCACTGTTACATGGACCCGCCTATTTTTCTGGTTTACACTTGCCCCATTCTCCGCTGACTTTAACCTTGCTGCATTCATCGTTCTCTAATGCGCTCTAATTAAATCCCGTGTGTAGAACATTGCACCCAAACACTGAAGAGACGGAAAACACGACGGATCCGGGCCGACCGCGCTGAGTCCGCCGCATGTTATTCGCAGTGCACAAAAGCTGACGCCGACCCAGTTTCACGTTCGTCTCCCCAACTTATGCCCCAAACCGCTTCACCGCCTTCCTCGCATATCCCCGATTTCTCACGTCTTGGCTGGCTTTTAAATTAATGACATTTGCTTGTCGACTGACCGACTGCGATGGCTTTTTACATGGGTGCTTTTATTGGCCCAGAGTGGGGTGTAGGTATCTACGAGATTTCTTGTGATTCCTCTATTGTTCCCCAGTTATACTTTAGATCGATTCATCATAGGCAGTTATAAATTATTTTCTTAAAAATAATTTTTAATACATCGATAAATGCTGTTTAAGTCCACAATATTTGGCAACAAAAATCTAATGTTAAGCGAAGCAACTGGGTGAAGGGCATTTGTTGCCTAGAACAATCTACCGAAAGCCCAGATGCAACCTATTTATGTCGCCAGCTGGGGTCCTTTCCTCTCTGCGTCAACAAAATTAATGAAATGCCCAAACAAGTGCTGATCTTCTTCATAATGCCATAGCTTGTTTACGTTTTACGCCTGCCAATTGTTTTGATTATGGTTTTTTTCCCCAACCCCAACCCAGTCCGGTTTATTTTTCATAACTTTTCCTTCGATTCGTGTTGCACGCGAGTCGCATTTTTAATTAATTTTCTTGCATTTTCTCTATTTTGGCAGCTGAGTCCGCTGGCAGTTAAGCCCACTCCCAAGCCATCGAGCATGGAACAGCAGAAGGCTCTGGCCGCTGCCCTGGGCCATCAGACGGCGGCAACGGGTTGCATCAAGCTGGATGTGGACGCGGTACCCAAGTTTGGAGGTCTTCCCGAGTTCGACGAGACGCAAATACCTGAACTGGCTCCTCTAAGTGCCGAAATGGAGGGTGAGTGGATCTATAGTTTATTTTGCGATTTCACAGTCTTTTAGATTTTGTTTATGCCAAAAATTGTTTGCTCTGCTATGTAAAATGTTTATTGTTACTGCGCAATGTATGTAATTATGAAACAAATTCAAACAAATCTTTGGATAAACAAATAAATTATTATGCTCAGTGATATAATTTTTTATAAACTTCTTTCTGCCACAGCTCAACTGAAATCTAATCATTCGGACTCGGATGTTTTTGTAGAGTGTTTATCGCTTCACAGCGAGCGTTATACGGGGGATCGGTCCGAGTTGGAGGCCTACTCAAGTGCCCTTAACGATGTTTTGGAGCAGCAGGTGTCCATCGCCTCGGCTGCCACACTAGAGAACGACTTCGAAGATCCTTTGGCGGTCAGCCAGCACAACGACGTTAGCTATGAAGCCATGGATGTGGACGATATCAACGAAACCATGGAAATGTTAAAGGATGTCCTAGGTCCCGAGGATCATCAGCTTTTACAACAGCAACTCCTCTGCAAATCCCAGCCAACTCCAGAGAAATATCCAGTGCAGATTCCTGAATTGCAGAATCTGGAAAGTATAGAGTTGTCTTCCGTCATGCTAGAACAATTGGAAGAAGCGTCTTCAAAACAACCAGTAATTACTGAAGAGATTAAGGAACCATCTCGACCGACGGACCCCACTTTGTCGGTCTTGCATTCCCTGCCTCAAATTGAGAAGACTGAAACACTAGAAAATGGGCAACAAAACAGGGAGGAACTATCACAAAACCGGGAGGTTCATTCAACCCACCCTCCGCCCCTTCAGGAGCAAGTGCCTCCTGGGGAACAAAAACCAGATCAGGATCTTCAGCAGCCTGAAGAAAAGGAAAGCGCTCCTCTAGAGTGCCCTGATCGGGATCAGCCAACTTCAGTGCTACCAGAAGCCACAATGGGGACTGGGATAACGGCAGGTGACCAACCCAGCTGCCTTGGGCAAAATACATCCCCAGCCGTGGAGGCCACCGAGTATGGAGTGACAGAAGAGGAGTTTGAGCCCATGGAAGTGGATGTCTCCGTGCGAGTGGATGAGGCCACAGTGATAAGGTCTTCTAACCAGCAACAAATGGAATCCAGGGCATCAATTTCAAACTCCCTTAGCTTGAACGTGAACGAAGAGAAGGAATCCGTTTCTCCACATCAGCCAAATCTGGATCATCAAATAGGCCAGGGAATGGTGGACCCAGAAGATCAAATAAAAATGGCTGAGTTAGAACCACCAGAAGTAAGAGCCCCAGCAGCTCCTCTTTCGCCGCCCATACCCACGCTTCAGGCCAAAAGGGAGGAGTTTCCCCTTTCTCCGCCTATACCTACACATCGCCCAAAGACAGCCGAGGAGCTGGAGTTCCTGGCTCTAAGGGAGTTGCCCTTGCCGGATGATCTTAATCCAGAGGAGGCCGACACCTTAACTATGCCGGAAATGGAACAACCTCTTCGTCACTCGCCAGTAGTAGCTGTCACACCTACGCAGAAGCGATCCACGACTCCTCTATCTTTGGATCTGGGCTCTAACAGCTCCGCCTGCTCCTTTGAACCCACATCGCCTAGTTTCCCTATCAAAGGGCCAGCGGAGAAGCCCTCGCACTTTCCTCTATCTCCGCACGCTCCGCCAGAGCGAAAGGAAATGCCCTACTTGGAGGAGGCTGTGGTAGAACCCTCTTTGGATCGCAAGCAAAGCGTTTTTGGAGCCGGAGCCATTGCTAGGTCTCCAGTGATCATCGAGGTAACGCAACCAAGTCCGGAGAAGCAGCAGCAACTCAACGAGACCCTGCCAATGAGCGATAATTCGCCCACACCCTTAAACGGGACATTTGACAGTGGCAGAAACATCCAGCACAAAACAGAGGCAGGTACTAAGGATATCGAGGGTTCCTCCACGTTTGCTGTCAGTCTTAAATCTGTTGATGATAACCAGAGACGCACGTTTTCGGTGATCCAGTCCACTGCGTCAGATGAGGAGGCCAGTTCCCGCGGGAATTGCACAGCGGAAAAGCAAAATCCACGTCGAACATTCAGCGTGGAGCAAAATGCATCACCGGCAATGGAGGCCACCGAGGATATATTGGCGACTGACGACATGGATGTGGATGTCTCCATGCGTGCGGACGAGATGAGCGTGACTAGGTCGCCCCAGCAAAATCGGAAGGAAACCCAAGCACCTGTTTGCAGCTCACCACCGATTCCCACACATCAACATCTAAAAAGACCACCCATCCACGAGGATAATTCTCCAGTTTCGCCAGTGGGAAATGCTACGGTCATCCTGGAGGAGCAGGCCCTGTCCGCCAAGGAGCAGGCCACTCTAAGCGCCAGCGATGAGAAGGACGACGTTTTTATGGAGCACTTTGGTGCCATATCTCCCGTGTCGGATGACATGTTCAAGACGCCGCAGTTCACTAGCAGTGGCTTTCAGAACCAGGCCAAGATGAAGGCCAATGCTGCTGGAGGTGAAATGGGGGGAAAAGCAGCTGCTGTGGTAAGCAGACAGAGGGCGTCCACAGCTGCCGAAGAGGAGCCGCTCTTCGATGCCGAATTCCAGGATGGCGCCAGCAACCAAAACTGTGAGTCAATAACCTTTTTTTATTTGCAAGGAATGTGTCATTACATGAAACTACAGTCAAACTTCGTAATCAGCTAATTACAATACGGTTTGTCCTTCTTGCCTTTTTCAACAACTGTTCCAAAAATTTTTTTTTAAGATTCGCAGCTTATGCGTAATACTGTAATACTTATGTATGTGGGGCTCATCAGAAAATTGTATAGTGTCTATAAATTTTAATTTAAGAAAGTTTTTGAGCACGGCGTACATATTTAAACAATTTAGACAACTTCGTAAAATTATTACTCTAACACACGAATCAAGAATTCTCTCACCTCATGCTAGAGACATTTCACCGTCGTTCTCCTAACAGAAGTTCCACTGTCATAACGGGTTCTTTGCATGTTCGTGACCTTAGCTCATCAGCACAGAACTCATAAACTTTTGAACTTGAAATATTATCGACGCCATGAACTCGAGAACCTAGAGTTCCTACTTCGTCGGCATGGACTTTATTGCGGGGATATCTAGCTGTAAAAATAAACCTATCACAAATGCAAGGCAATGAACCTGAACTTCAAATCGGGAAAGGGAAAACTGGGGGGAAAAACTTGGGAAGGCTAAAGAGGAAAACCAAAACAAAAGGGCACCACAACGCCCATTAGTAGCATAATTGTTTTTGGATGGCGGACTGTGAACTGCAGAAAACGATTTTTGCTATTACTATTTTTTGTTTTACTGCACGTTTTGTTCCCGTTTCCTGGTTTTGTTGTTTCTGCAAACTGCATTTATTTTTTGCTCTTTGATGGAAAATACCGCATTACGCTCTCTCTCTCTCTCCTGTTATTTTCCCAGTACTCTCTTTCTCTCTTGCTATCCCTTATCAGCAAAGTATCGTAGGCGAAGAAGAAGCACTTCGCTCACTGTGACGTCACCTTGTCTAATTGAAGAAACGTTGTCCGCTTATATTGCACGAGTATATGTGCCCCAATGACCACATTTATATTTTTGGTTAATTACCATTGCTTGTTGAGTAATTAGATAAACAATGAAGTAAACTAAGTAAACTTGTCCACTTCAGCATACTGTTTAACAGCAATATTGCAGACTGATATGCACAAACTGTAATATTTAAAAATACATCATTATTGGCGCCTTATTTATCGTTATCGCTGACTAGTAAAATGCATCTCTGGCTGTCTACCGCACTCAACAAGCAAGCCCAGATAAGATTAGACACATTTTCTATCTCGCTTCTTAATCATAGAAACTACAGGCTGGACTAGCTAAGAAAGGTATCTATTGTTGTATATGAAATCTGGTTCCGATTTAAAAAATTTATTTATAATTGCTTTTGCATGGTTTAGATAAAAAGTTATGATCGTGCGAAAAGGTTTTGGAAGCTAAGTATTGAAGGAAGATTTTGTTTGAAGAGTGCTTGATGCAGAAACAAACCATTTTTTTAAGTCTCTTCATAATTATTTAACAATTAAAAATTGTTAAATAAAAAAATTTATTTAATTTTACTACTAAATCAATCAGTTCTCCTTAAATGTATATACACTCGACCTTGTAAAAACTTGTAAATTTATTATATCTTAAATTTTATAAATATTATAACGTTTTCTCAAATATCTGTAAGGCAGACTTCGAAAATGATGGCTTGAATATTAGGCAGATAATTAATCGAGGTGTCACTGTGGCTCAGTATGCTCTCTCCGACGTACACACACCACCATCCAAGCGCATAGGAATTTAACTTAGAACTTGGTTATGCACTTTCCCCCCTCGTTCTGGCTGCAGAGCGAGAGAGATAGTCAGTGGGGTTTGTTTGGCAGGGGTGGGGTATGGGGGCGGACAACTCCAAACAGACAACGTGTACACAGCGTTCTCTCACTCGCACAAACTCTCTCTGCGCAGTTGCTGACTGCTGAATACGCGTCACTATTCCACACTCCAGTCAGAATTCAGGCTCGTCCGTTCGCCCTCTCGCTTGCTCGCGTGCGTGCGCTGGTTTTCTTATTGGACTGTCGGAGAGAAATGTAAGCAATAAGAAATTCCATTTCGTTTCCAACATCAGTCGTCGCAATATCTATCGGTACCCTGCTGCTGTTTATTCCTCGGATAAGCTTCTCATTCGGCAAATGTAAAGTTGAAAAACGCAATATAGGATATATTTGTTTGTTTACCAAAGCCAGAGACGTTCTATTTTGTTATTGGCCCACAATAAGTGCTTTAAATTAGAAATGTAACCAACAGCTGTGCAGAAGAAAACAACAAATAGGCATAAATAAAGTCGGAAGTTGTCTCTAAAGTCGCTAAGAAAAAATATTACGCGAGAGCGAGAGCGTGAAACTTCATTGTGTGATTTTCTCTGCGTATTAGTGAACTTTTAATACTTATGTGTATGTGCATGTGGGTGTTTTTTGGGAGCTGCGTGGCCACGGTTAACATTATTATGTGAAAAACTGTGGAAAATCTTGAAAATGCAAACCTTGTCAAAGACACGCAATTAAAATGCAGCGCAGTGTGCAAAGCTGCTCTCTCTCCTCTGCTCTCACTATTTCTCTTTTCTTCTCCTTCAATCAACCCACTTTCGGAAACCATTTGTCGATTGCATAAAATGAGTCACAAGTCGTTGTTTCCCTTTATTTTGTTTTGTTCCTCTTTTTCAAAACTAACAAATGCCCAAAACTAAAGCTATGTTCATGCCACCCTATATGTAGCTGCGACCTGCATTTTATATTTGGGTCTGCCCGGGTTTTCAACTATTTTTAAAGCCGACATCGCTGAGTTTCAGATTTGTTTATGTATTCTCTTTCTTTTCCATGTGCACTCAAAGAAAAATCCTGATACTTAAATTTGTCACAAATCTTTTTTAAGATAACTCCGGATCACAACCATTTCCAATTGTTTACAGTTAAAAAACCCTTCAATGTATACTTATATATTTTAGTACATATATATGTATTTTAGTACTAAACATTTTCTAAATAGTTTCGCGTGTAGGGTGAAAATATGCAGAACAGGCACACCTCATTTCGTGGCCCCTGGGATCTCGAATTGGGGTTCGGGGGGTTGAACAGGGAGGGACACTCGGTTTGAGTCATGTTACATATATCTCCGTTTTGTCGTTGTTCTTCTTTTCCGCTTTTGTTTTTTCAACAAGTCAGACCAAAAGGAATCAATCCCTCTCAAAGAAGAAAAACTTTTGTGAATACAAGTTGCGTTTAACACCAGTTTGACACATTTGTTTTATCCAATAATTACTCTGAGTACTTTGAACAAGATCAAGAAGATCTTATTGTGTATAGCCTTCATTATAAGATCTTCAAAAAGTCTAAAACAACGTGTGCTAAGCCTTAATGTATAGTTGGGGACTAAGAAATAAGCGGTGCTAACACCATTATAAAACCAGAAATTAACCATACAACAAATCAGTTGTGTTTAGATTCGGTGGAAGAGATAGGGAACTTGACATTAGTAATGTAACATTGTAATTGCAATCTTAAGTCTTTCCTTATTCTGTATTGGCTTTCTCTCCTACTCATTTCTCTTTTTCCCTTTCCATCTAATCCCACTTATTTTTTTAAGTTGCCATGTCATTGCTTTATTAAGGGGCGTGTTACCCATCCCTCCTCTTTCATTCGTATTTAATACAGAAACGGGGTATATTTTATCTAATAATGGTCCATCGCCTAAGGAAGGAGAGAAGGGTCGAAGGGAAAAACCTTGACGTTGACATTGATTTGAATTCAACAATAGAATCCGATACAGAACCGTAAAGCCAGTGACTAACTTTTGCTCTTGTTTATTTTCTTTTTTCCTCACAAAACAAACTGCACGCGCATGCACTCAACCACACATCCCCATTTACACCCGCAAACCAACGAACACCATCCATAGTAATACTGAACTCATCAGATTTCGATTATTTGTACACGAAAGGCAGCAATAATGCGCCCATCGATCGCAGTTCGCTGCTGCTGAAGTTTGACCCGCTCCTTAGAGCCCCTGTTCCCGTTAACCATCCGAGCCAGCAGGAGCAGGCTGCGCTGAATATTCTGGGCGCGAACCCAAACCAGAACAGGCTCCTCAGTCCCACGTTGGAGGAGCACGAAACAAGTGGCGGCAACCAGTCGTTTGGAATCGCAGCGAGTGCCAAAGACACCGCCAAAAAGTTGGACTTCAAACCGCCTGTGGATAGGACAAAAGTAAGCTATAACCTTTACTTGGTTTTAAATCTAATTCCCACATAAAACAGGCAAGTTACTAATTGTTACGAATTTTTCGCAGAAGCATGTTAAAATGAGTGTGGACGTGATTGACAACGATTGCAACAAAACCTTCGATAATTCCAAGTGAGTTGGAGGTGTAAGCGGGATTTTCGTTCAATATGCTATTCAATAATTTGTACATTTTAGCCTCAACACTGAGGACAAGACCCATACCTACAACAACATGGATGAGCTGGAGAAGAAAATCAAAAATGAAGTGTAAGTCCACTTTAAACGCAGTAATGAAGGCCGGCTTAGGTTCTTCTCTGTTGCAGAACGAGGTCCGAGGACATCGAGAAGAAGCTCAAGGAGGGAGAAGCGCGCGAAGAAGCTCTGATCAAACGCATCACGGAAAAGGACAAAACAAATGCTAAACTGAAGTGAGTCTCGTCCATTATGTGCAACATGCTACAAAATATATTTGTATCAGTAGGTTATTTAACTACACCGGTCGAAGCAAACGTATTTCCTGCAGTTTTAAAATCTAAAGAACATTGTCAAAGTTTATTTTTTATTTATTTTATTTTTATTTTTATTGTAGTTAGAATAGCTTATAAAACTAAATTAACTAAAGAAAGTTGCAGTACTAGCTGCTGAGGCCATCAACTGTCTGTACTTATATTATGTGATATAATGGTTTACAATTACAATAACATTTACATTATTTTTTACATTGTTATTTTACATTTTACAATATGTGTTGTCTTATTAGATTTTTAGTCCCCCCAGAGAAATCTGTATTAAACCTTACAAATCTGTTCGAAATCTGCTGCAACCAAAAGTCTTTTTGCTATTACGATTTTCAGACGATCGCGGTTGGAAACGCAAATTGGGTTTTTTTTTTAAATTTTATTTTTATTTATAAAAAATGTCTGATGAATTCAGGAACTTAACATTTATAAAAATACGAAAATAAATAGGAAAATATTATCCAAGAACTACTATACAAACTCTCTATAATTTACTGAAAATCCAGATATTATTATTTATTATTTTTGTCATTTTTTTGCAGCGGAGTTATTGAGGCGTATGAAAAGGCCATTGCGGAGCTGATCAGTGAGAAGGAGCAGCAGGCCCAGCTTCACGAGCGGCAATTGCAGGAAGTGCAGGCTGACCGGGACGCTAACTACCATCATCTAACGTCGCTGGAAACGACATTCTCCGATCTGCATGTGTAAGCGCTATCCCAAAGTGCCAGTTATTCTAGTTTGGCCCACTGACTTATCATGTTCTTGGTTGCAGGAAATACGAGAAAAGCAAAGAAATGACATCGCAGCTCAAGAGCAACGAGGAGTCTCTTTTGGCGGAGCGGAAGCAGATGATGGACAATCTGCGACTGCAGGAGCAGCGCTACGATAAGATGAAGAACCATGCCATGCAGCAGCTAGAAATGTAAGCTATTGATCTCCCATTACCAGCGCTCTTTATTAACCCTCTTTTTCGGCTTAGTGCTAACAAAAAGCTGGATACCTACGCGAGGGAGCACGCGGACGAAACGAAAAAACTGAAAGCTTTACTTAAGAAGGAGGAGGTATCGCGCGTCTCGATGACCGAACAGCTGCAGCAGAAGTCGCGTGAGAACGCCGATCTGCTCAAGATCTGCGAGGAGCTGATCTACGGCAAGGGACAAGGTGGTAGTAGTTAAACTCGGCCCGCGGATGGCCGGAATGTATTTTATATGTTGCTGTAAAACCGCACACACCCCATCACAACACTGTCTCATCCGGAATGTGGAAGCCATCTCGTAGCATGTCCGTAGATCTGTAACCGCGCCTCTCTCATCGTCATCTTCATCCGCATCATGGTGTAATAACTGCTCGGTTGCGTGCTCTTAACTGAATAAGAAAAGCACCATTGTATAATTTTGCCAAACCCACTTTTGTTGAATTTCAAGATGTACACCTAACGATTCGACGCATATTATACTTTTTCTAGATTTTTAGTTGACCCGCAAACACTCACTCACACAAGTCACAGGCAGACCCATTGCGTTCCGTTCGAGTTCCACTAGCCTTACGGGTCTGGTTGCCCTGCCCGGCATATGTTACTAATTCTCAATCGTGTCGAATCTGTCTACTGATTTATGTTCTATGATATTACCTGGCGGTGAGTTGTGCCCAAAAACTGTACTGCGTTTATGGTTTAGCAATTGGCCAGCGAAGCAAATCGATACTGTGTGATGGCAGCTAAATCAGCATACAAACGCAAATTATAAAGAAAAGCGTTCGCTTGAGGCGCGCCTTTATTAAATGTTTAAGTTTAACTTAGTTTAATTTTATTGAAAACTTGTAATAGTCGTACTAAGAATAACTCTGTATTACACACTAGTACTAAAACAAGAAAGCGAAAAAAACAAAAATGAAACATTAAAAATACACGCGAAAAAACTTATTTATGCATAAAAGTACATTTTCGTTTGCTTCGTTCAGCGCTTGAATATTGGTTTGCCCAACACTGGAAGAGGTTGCCTTATAGGAGAAATAACTAGTTAAAAGAAGAAGAAGAAAAGAACTAAAAGACCAGTAGTGCAGCTTTATTATTTTCGCAAAGCCTTGCAATTATGGCTTAGACCTAATGAACTTTATTAATTTGTATTTATCATAACCGAGTTCCAATTCATTTTCTGCTAGACATATCTAAAATTTTGGAATGAGCAGTCTATCATTTTTAGGCGATTTGAAAACTATACTTTCAATTGGTTCAAAGTTCAGAGCGAGTTTAAAAATAGAGCACGATAGCGGGCGCTGAAGTTTGTAACACTTTATTGTAGTAATCTATTAAAAAAAACACCATCCAATGAACCCCTTGAGAACTCTAAATGAATTTTACTTCCATTTATTACATTTACTGTACTCTAAGAACAAAAAATGTTGATCACTGCAGTGAGAAGTGAAGAAAACAAAGGAGAATTGTATACAAATTTGTACCCAGTCCATATAATCTGAAAAATGAAAAATGCTACTTCATAATATATAACAGCATATATATATATATTTTTCTAAAGTAGAGAACACAGGCGAAACACCCAGAAATGCGCTTACGGGAAAGAATTCTAGGAAACTCCGGAGTAAATATTGTAGTTTGACATTTGAAAACGAATGGATAATATATCAATGCGCTGTAAAAACACATAAATAGTATTAAAGCATGTCAGCACATATGAATTACGATGTGCTGAGCATGTGATGTACGTATAGGTGATCGAACGAGTTGCATTAATTAATAAATCAAATATGTAATTGAAATAAGCCCGAAACGTTGCAGTGGACCCTGTGTTTTATATTTGGATTGCTGGAGGTTTTGAATGCTTGTAAGTATAAGAGGGGTTACAGTTATGTTTATTGTAGCACGCTTTTAGGATCTTATGAACCGTTACTTTTTAGAAAGCATTGGAACCATTCTCTAATTTTGAGTATGCCGATGCTATAAAGTTTAAAAACTCTTGATAAGCATCTTCATTTAAGGGAGGGTTTTAAAAAATTTTTTTTTACATTTTTTTTTTATTTTTTTTCTGAATAATCAATATGTCGAGAACATTGTGTAAAAATTTTGAGTCAATTAAAGTCAAACTAACGGAGTTACAGCGTTTTAAACAACCGTATTTGGACGTATTTTCACGTATAAAAATACTTTGAATCGATTTTGCCGAAGACGTTATTTTGAAAGTCGGTGAACATCAGAACTCAAAATCTACTGAGCCGATCCTTTTCAAATTTTTAACACAAAATCTCAATATAAGTACGCAGGTAATCAGGAAGACCTTTTTTTAATTTTTAATTTTTTTTCTATTTTTAAAAAATAAATTAACAGCGATTTTTAAGCTAATATCGCACTTTTCACTTTCAAGTGCTGCCAAAAATAGACAAAAAATAAATTTAAAAAAAACTCTTCCTGATTACCTTGGGAAATTCATTATCTTTACAACGCATATCACATTTTATTTTTAAGATGATCCGTTAACGCCCTATGATGTTCACCGCAAAACAACTTTTTCTTAAGGCGCTTCGGAAGATTAACCGCCACAGGCTTATTTCTTAATATTTTTTAATAATTTTTTTTTCTAATACTCTTCAAAAGTTAAACAATAACATGCAATTAAGCTCAATAAAATAAACTTACTCATTTCGCCGCAAAAAAAGAACAAACATGGCCCTTTTTTTGATTTTTAATTCTTATATATAAAATATGTTTTTTCGCCAGAGCTTCCTTCGAAGTGTTACATGTAAGTACTTTTACATACTCTACGACTAACGGGTATATGAGCAATCTTAAAAAATGTACAAAAAATGTATAACTATCAATGGTTTTCTAAAAGTATTTTGTTTATAGTGCAATTTATTTCTGCGTTTATCTTCGAATTACCGTTACATAACCAGAAATATATTTTTATGACAAAAACCAACAAAGTAAACACTGGACTTCAATATATCTGGGTTCTGGGACTAAAAATTTACTTTTATGGAGTGAATGCTAAATAGCGAATGTTGTTCATAATTTTTAAGGTTCTATTCGGAAATTAGTAATCAGCCTACAAATCAAGTTATGAGCGTAGAAAGTAATTTCTCGTCAGGGGTGCAAGGGGTGTAACTAAATCAGTAAGCAATCTACCGAATTGGAATACTGATTAACCAGCGCACATCTCAAGTTATTAGGCACTAAATCAGTAAACAAACTACATCTGTGGCGGCATACGAAAAATTCAATGCGGTTCCGAAGAGTATCCGAGTTTCAGCAGTGAGTCAGCGCGCTTTTCACTATTGTTTTTATATAGAAGTGCGGTGGAGCGACGGAGAGCTCAGTTGGTTTTCGTTCGTTGCCGAGTTAAGTTCACCGCGATTCCACCTCCGATCCGTGGAACAGGCAGCGGTTTGTGGCAGTTTGATTCAAATTTCCGAGCTGCGGGAGCTGGAGCACTGTGTAAATGAATTTCTTGCTAAATAGTTGAACAAACCAATGTCAATAAACAATAAAAAATAACTGAATGGAACAAGCCAAAGCTGAGTTGTGACGCTTGTAATCTCTCGACGAATGCTATATTTGAGTTTTGAGTTGGGCACAGTGTTTACTAAATGCAATTAATTCTCTTTAACAGCTTAACAACCTCTCGTTAACTATACGGTACCGAAATAAAGTGAACTTGTCGCTCAGCTAAAACTACATTGCTAGCGCTTACAAAACAGCATCGGAGCGGCCAGGATGCAGACAGTCATTAAGTGAGTATCCTCCTCCTCCACACTTTGCGATTCCTGCTTTTCCCACACACCCAATCCCAATCTCAATCCCAATCCCAAGTGGTTGGCGTGGCTGGCGAAGACAGATTCGGTTTCACATATTTGAGGTGGCTATGTGTAAAAAGAAAGCTGCGCATGATTATTGAAAACACGTTTCGAGGGGCCTTCGGCTGGGACCCTGGCTTATCATAGGCACACTGGGCCATCGAGTCCGGCACACAGAAAGAAACTTCAGTGTTAAAGCCGAAATCAGAAGCACAGTTTTTGTGCCTTTGAATTAATTAGCCAGCGAACTATAATGTTTTAGGAGGCATTCTATATTCAAATTCAAATTTAACATGAGTCCGCTTAAGATAGAGCTGGGGTTTTAGATGATCGGTGGGAAGCTAGGCCATGCTGATTTTCAACTGTGCAGTGGCAATGACAAGCATAAACCCAGAGCCACCTCCCTGCAAATCTTCAGCTGGCTTTGGCTCGACATCCCCGGGTGCATCGATGGATATTTGAAAACGGGTTTTCCGCTGGCCGGGGTTCATTTTTGAGTGGGATCGGCGTTAATCGAGTTCAGTCAACCAAGTCATTGGAATCTTCACATACGGCCTGAAAGATTAATTAGTGGCGAACGACTTAAGCGATTTAATTAACGGCTTTCGATCGCGTTGATTTTGGACTTGTTCAACTGCTGTGCACTGCCAATAATCGATCTGTGCGTGTGCCATGCACTTTTGATAGGATGTCTCCTATTTTATTGTCGCTGTGCATAGCGCCTCACTCGGTTGCGAAACCGGAATTATTTGAGGTACATAACCACCGATTCCCACTGACCGAGGCCCATTGTTATTCGTCGTAGCAATTCCCTGTGAAACAATCGCAAAGCCGTACTATTTCCTTGCGAACAGTTTTGTTTAAGAAACAAACACAAATATTGGAAGAAGATAAGAATCTCAAAATTGACTTAACCCTGCAGTCACTGCTTACAAGTTAATTATATTTTTTCACTCGGCAAAGAACTTTGGACCTCAGCAAAAGAAGTTCCTCTTCTTTAGGCAAAAACAATCGTTGTTTATCAGTGTATTTCTTCCTTGTTAATTTTAATAGGTTGAAATAAACGAAATTATTTGAAGACTGCGATTTTTCTAGGTCAACGTTACGTAATCCATGTTTTGGCCCTTTTTGTTCAGTGCTTCGCGGTCTGGCCAGTCAAAGTTTTTATATTTCCAAGCCCATATAAATCATATGGCTTCGAATTTTGGCAAAACAACTATAAAACACCTTGTGAACCCCAGAAAAAAAGAAGAGCACAAAACGAAAACAAAGTCGCACCTCTGATGGAACTGCCTATCCGGTTTTACTATTCGACGAATACAAAATCTCTTTGTTTTTAACAGTTTTTGTGGCACACAGGTATCCGAACCAAGAAAAAGCCAAGAACAAAGCGCTTTCGAAGTATGAATAGTTGATTCTCTTATTGGACTCGGCTTTTATTTTTTTATAGCTGGGCAGCTATTTGCTCAAATTGCATAATTAAACGCACGCAGACCTTAGTGCAACTCCAATTATGGTCAGCACAGTTTTCTTGGCCATGCGGTTGCGTTTTCTTGGCTTTTCGTTTTCTTTTCCATGCACCGCTGAAGGTGACTTCTGCGGTTCAGAGATACTCCCTCCACCTCCGTCATTAACTGACCTTTCCCCCCTATCCAAGCCAAGGAAATTCCCTCCCAACGTAGGCTGCATAAAGCGAGTACATCAGCTATTTATTTTCGAAGCAAGATCATCGGTTTTGGGCCTTGTGCGCTTTTAGTGGATTCTGAGCACGATTGGTAGCCACTTTCTCCTCGATTTTGGTTCGTTTTCTGTCAGAGAAAGCGGGATCGATCTCGCGGGCTTATTCTAATTTTTGAGTCTGGAAGAAGCTTATTTATTTGATATCTTCTTAGGAGAAAGTGCATGCTGTCATTCTCTTCGCCTTGAGATGTGATCCAAAATCGTTCATTATAATCCGATGACAAGTGTTCCTTCAATACTTGCTTCCTGATTTGAACCCTTTCAAAAGCGCATTGTAGCACGTTCTGGTAATCAACTCATCCTGATCCCTTCCGCAACTGCTTTTCTTGAGCAGAACGCAGAGTCATTACATTGGACAGTCGCTTGCCAACATTAAGTCCAGTAATTTATGGCCCCAATGGGGAGGGGCTGGCCTGGTACCAGGTAATTCCTCTGGCTTCCTCATGGACTGCACGTGAGTCGTTGAAAACCAGTCCAATGGCTCGGTAATTCTGGCAGAAGTTCTTTGCAATTCGGGAGGATTTTGGAGCGTGTAGCTCACGTAATTGTCCGGCATTTCATTCGGCTCTCGCCCCTTCACGTTCTCGTTCCTCTGGCTTTGATTGCTGTAAGCGGCTTATTACTCATTTGGCACATAATAAAATCAGAATAATTTGCGTACTTGTCAGCCCGATGATGGATCGCCGCAACTTCGGTATTCTAAAGTACGCCGAGTTCTTGAGGAAATTGCGCGAATGCGTAATTGTTCGCTGGCTTTCGGGGGTTAACGAAACCTGGGAACGTGCCACAAGCCGAGTGGTAATGAGGAGCACTCCGAACAATACAGCTGTCTTTAATTCTTTATTTGCATTGCATTTGCATTAAAAATGTATTTAATTTGTTATTGATAATTCAATATTTGAGGTCAGGCTGCGAGTTAAAATTTCGCCGACAGTCGTAACGCTTAATGCATACTAAATACCAAATAAACGAACTTGGCCCCTCGTTTATCGATATCGGTCGCCAATACATTTTTGATGTGTGAAAATTCCCTGATTGCTTGGCATGCAAGGCGCCATTTGCACTGGCAGTGTTGGCAACAAACAGCCTTGCGACGTCTGGCAACCACTTCGGCCATTCGGCCGTTCAGGCATTTAGCCATTCGGCCTTGCCAGACTGGGGCGGACGCAGGGGGTGGTCCAGACCCCCCCAAATCTCAGACTTTTTCGAACTGCCTTACAGCACACGGTCTTTTAACCATATAAACTAAAAAAATTTTGACCGGACCCCCCAAACTAAAAAGTTTTTCGATCGGACCCCCCCAAAATTTTTTTCTGCGTCCGCCCCTGTTGCCAGAGGACACATGCTGCCAATTGAATAACCCGCCTGGGCCAATCCCGCCCGCCCCTCTGCACTCGCTCATCAGCGAGCATCCTGCGATTTGTTTGCATTGGCTGTGCCGCTTTCCGTTTTTCCGTTTTTCCGCTTTTCCGTTTTTCCGCTTTTCCACCTTTCCCTTCCCTTCCCTTCCCTTCCGTCCTGCCCGGAGCAGCCACATTAAAGGTGGAAAACTAAGTGGCACGGCGCTGGGAAAATTGCATTGTCGCTGGCTGCTCCTTCCTGCTGCAAATTGCCTTCTTCCTGCTAATAAGTAAGCTTCAAAGGTTTGTCGTCGTTCTGCAGCAGCAGCATCTGTTGCTCCGGGTCTTTCGCCTTGGCCAAGATCCATCAGCGGGCCGCAACAAATCCACTTAGGCCCTCCAAGTTCAAGCCCACAGGATAATGCGATTATTGAAATTTATTGCCGCATTGCCACCGCGCGGCAGTCAATTAGGCCATCTGTCTTTGGAAAAACAATTAGTGACTCAAATCTGTCGTTATCTTAGTGCCTTTGAGTCCTTACGTAGGTAAAAACAGATAAGAAACTTCAGTAAGCTTTTGAATGCGTAGAATTAATAGATTTGCACTCTTCACGTTTATTTTGTGGTGGGAGAGTGTTTTTGGTGAGCGACTCAATAGCTGAAACATTTTTCAATGTCTGAACGCGATTTGATATCGATCTGCTGTTTGTCACAAGTTGTAAGGTAAATGTTTCTGGAAATCCTCTTAGGCTTATTTAGAATCAAAGGTGTCATAGCAGGCACATAGTGAAATTCGACCGCTTCGATCGCTCCTGTGCGTGGGACTGCGGAGAAGAGTTCTCGGCAGGGTGAGATCCACTTGCCAAATGAATCTCGGCTGCAGTCCGTGACCCCTTAATGAGCGCACACACTCAAAGGCGGACAGTGGGGCTCGGTTAAGAGAAACCGCATTTGCGAGTGCTCGAAATATTCGTGGGGCAATTAAAAGCGAGCAGCAGCAATTCGGACAAGTAAGCAACGCCTGAATCTTAGTCGGAATCGCCATCGCCATCGCATTCGCGCTCAACGAAATTAAAATGTATTAGGTAATTGTGTCTGTGGCACAAATTAACACTTGAAAGGCAATTTGTCGTATCACTTTGTTTGGGCATTACGAAAAACCCAGCAGCAGCTGAACTGCGAGTGGCCACTGAGAAAATGAGGCTACCAGTTGCACGTGTCGCCGTAAAAAGGCTCTAAACTGGACAAATATATTTCAGATTTGGAACTGAAAGACAGATCCAGGTTGATTCATACAAGCTGGTTTCCCAGCAATGACTAAACAATGGTAATAGATTAGGGGAAACCTTAAAAACCAGCCCAAAACCATTTATTTATGCTTCAAAAAACTCTTTTTGCTGCAAGTGTGCCAATTCCTGCGGTGCAATTCTATTGTAATTGTCGAACCAAAGAAGTTTTTAAACAAGGTGAGTGCCTACCTTTTTTTAAGTGCGGATAACAAATGGGAAGAGGCTTATGATTTGTAGGCACTTTAAATGGATATCTGTCAATCAGGGCTGGGCATATTAATAAACACAACGGCCAGCGACACCGAAAACTATCAAAAACATATTAAGAGCCAAACAATGAAACCCGGCGCAAAAGTTGCCAAACGCCAAACGCCACTCACTCAACACAGATAGTCGGCACACATGTGCGATTTCACGTGTGCATATTACGCCGTGTGCCTCGCTTTTTGTTTTTGTGCTTTTTTCTGGGCGGGAGCTGACGTATGGGTTGCCACGTCAATGGCAGAGGCACGCCGCCTGCACTTGACACATTTATTGGCAACGCAGGCGGCAGACAAAAGCAGGGCTTCAAGCTGGCCGGCCCATTGAAACGGGCCCCTCCCCCTCGCCACCGCCTTAGCCCTCCGCCCACCGGCCCTTACATAACGTACAACGTCGGTGGCACTTGGGGCTCACGGCCGAGAGAGTGCGATGCCACACCCGACCCCTGTCCCTTTCCCCTCTCCCCACTCCCCTCTCCTCTCTCCCCTTTCCCCTTCCACCTGTGCGGCACGTCCGCCGGAATTCCGGGTGTCGAGCTGGGACTGCCCTCCGATGGTCGTGATCCCCGGCTGCGATAAGACGGGCGAAGGAGATGCACGATCCGCCTGTAGACCCGCCTAATTGGCTAGGATTGTGCTGCGCAACGATCAGTAGTCATATCTCATATTTGGCAGCTCACCGGTTACGAGCCGGGTTATACAACGGCCCGAGTCTTACAAGCCTGCTAATTAGCGAGATGCATTCAATCATGTTTAATTCGTGTTTACTCCCACGTCAGGAAATAACAGACAGCATCTGAGCTCCGTCGCCAAGAGGAGCTCTTCTCGTTCGTTTTGGCCTCATAAGTGCTTGGCTCCAGTAATGGGTTTCCAAATAAACAACTCAAACGCCTCGGAAGGTTACGGTTTCCGAAGGGAAATGGAGATTCTAGGGAAATGCGTCAGAAGTCAGTCGATATACCTTGAAGTTCGCCGTATGTTTAACCTACTAAGCCCGAGTCACAGTCCTGTGACCCAGGGAGTACAAGGGTGTTTCCCATTAGCGAATTTCGCCCTAGAAAACGCTGGAAAAGAAGTTTGTAAGGAAAACGACCGTGTTGTTAGGAGTACAAAATAAAAGTGATTCTTTAATACAAGGTAATTAGAAGTACATGAGAATGTGTGTGTTCGTCAGAGTTCTGGCATGTTGGCGATTTGTTGTTGTCCATCAGCACTAGGGTCGCCGGGTCTGCTGTTATTCTGTGGCCAGTGACAGGGGTATGTTAACTATGGCATGTTAACTCCGGGTCCGCTGTTATCATGTGGCCAGTGAGAGGGGTATGTTAACTAGGTGTATGTTAACTCCCGTACCCTAAGATCTGGCATTAGTTTGTTAGTTAATTACTATTGGCGCACTTTGTGGGCTCAACTTCCGTGCCAGGCAATCCAGGACACTACCTCCGATTTAAAACCGTGCCACAGTGTCGTTCAACTTTGCAAACTGCGTATCAATACGGCCATTAATCGCTGGCCAGAAAATGGACAAATCAATTGCGAAACTGGTTTGTGGGTTGACTTGACTTTATCTTACGAAATGTCGAAATTCTCGCCAGTTTTGCCGGTGTGTAATTCATTAAGCGGCCAGTACTCTACAATACAATTGAGGTTTAAATTGGGAGCTGTGAATAAATTAGAAGCCCGTAAAGTTTTAAAATAAACGCTCAGTAAAATCGGATACAGAAGTTGGGGAACATCCGCAGTGCATAGTATATTGGCAAATATTAGTTAGTTCTTTAAAATCCCCCAGAACAGACATATTAATCATGATCCGTTTAGTCATTAAGTTTTTTTTTTGGATCTTGCTATTCCGTGTCATTAGCGTTGGGGAAAAGTTCAGCCCCATTAAACCGGATAATTGATTAAAAACGTGTGACTTGCAGGGACATTTATTCAAGTACGGCCGTCTGATCAGAGACGGAATCTGCGGAATCTTCTATTTGCTGGCCGAAAACGGATTGATTCACGGCCCGTGACCTAATCGCCTATTAAACGTAGTTACTTTTGGCGTTATTATGTTACAGCTCTCACAATAATTGAAGCGTGCAAAAATTCATCACTTTTTCGAATCTGTTTTCGGTTCGCCACTGATTGCGCTTTTTTACTCTGATCCACGTAGACTTCGACCACGGAAATGGGTGGGCATTAAAAAGCATTCTGCCCGTGGGTTGCGTGTGTGAATTCCAGCAAACACAGGCACTCAAATGTCGTAACGAGTTCGGCGGCCGAATGACTTTTCAAACTTGCGAGTTCGAATTTTAACCAGTCGAACAACAAAATAACAACCATTATGGCCGTACATTGCCAAATCGAATCGGAAGTTGGCCAACAATTACACTCAGTGCGGAAAGTGTTTGGGGTCAAATGAATCCATTGGAACAAGAACAGCAATTTTCTGCTTTGATCATTGTAACATGCACTGGAGGACTGCGAATTGTTTCGTAGTGTCACACAATTGAATAGTTGCAATGTGGCAAAATTATAGACAGCAATAATTATAACAACAACCTTATTCTACACAATCACGAAAATACAAACTGCCATTAGATTTCGGTGAGCTGGAATATGTCACGTAGAAGGTGCGCTTTCGCAAGTCTTAAAACTAAACTGCCGCTGCTTGGAGTTCGTTTCCCTACATTTCCAAATCGCTAAATATATAATAGATAATATATTTAATAAGCCTCCCCTTCCTTTGCTCCCAAGCCATGCATTAAAATGTGGGTAATACTTGTGTGCACTGAAACGGAAAGCTGCTGGCGGCATAGAGAAGCTTTTTTATCACTCGTGATCGGCCTTGACTAACCGAGCTCTTGTTGTTTGTGTGCCCCCACAGGAACCCCAACTGGTGGCGCAGGCGCACCAAGCTGGAGAGGAGTCTGCTGGTGGTCAGCGGCATCCTGTTCGTGGTCGCAGCCGCCGGATTCGGGCTCTGGGCGAGCGAGGCTCTGAGGGCGGCCGGCGCTCCGGAGAGTCCGCAGGCCACCGCCCTGCTCGGCGACAGCACCACGATCAACAAGGTGCCCCCGGGCAGCGCCGCCGACAAGGGCAAGTCGGGGGTGGACCCCAGTGAGGTGTGCCTCACCCAGGAGTGCATCCACACGGCCTCCATCGTGCTGCGCAAGATGCGGCCCGAGGTGGAGCCGTGCGACAACTTCTACGAGTTCGCCTGCGGCACCTACCTCGAGGAGGAGAACATCCCCGATGACAAGGTCGCGATCAGCACCTTCTCGGTGATCTCCGACAAGCTGCAGGAGCAGCTGAAGGACATCATCACCGCGGAGCGCCCGGAGTCGGAGCCGAAGCACTTCCGCCTGCCCAACCTGCTCTACAAGGCCTGCATGAACAAGAGTGAGTAGCGATTCAGCATAGAATTGATGATCTTGGAAAAAAGTATAAGCTTTGTCGTACTTTTTGGAACGCAAAATCCAACTCCTTCGAGCGATTGAATTTTTTTTCGAAATTCAATCCAGTGTGAAATTATCTAATTTCAGAAACAAACATTTCAAAATGAGTTTTTAAACTAATTATGAAATAACGATGAGTTGATAAATATATCGATCTAGAGTTAAAATGTATTCAGTCGTTGACCTTGGAGTCAAAGCGGTACAGTTTGCGATATACAATTTAGATACGTAGTGATACGTAATACTAATGACACGAATTGCTTTGATGGTACAACAAGTGATATGATTTAAATTATAAAATCAATTATTTCTCTGAGTCCAACTAGTCCATTATGATACATTTTTATAATGCCTTTGCAAAAGTAGTTGCTCTTATCTAGTCACGTTGCTAACTAAATCTGTTCCCTTGCAGCTCTCATTGAAAGCCTGGGCGCCGAGCCCATCACTCGGGTGGCTGAAAAGCTGGGCGGCTGGCCTCTGATCAAGGGAGAGGGCTGGAACGCGGACGACAGCTGGACCTGGCAGGAGCAGGTCAAGAAGTTCCGCAAGGCCGGGTTCAGCATGGACTACATCATCGACTTCTCCATTGGCGTGGATCTGCAGAACAGCACCAAGCGCCTTATAGATGTGAGTACTCCCCAAATTAAGATGAACTCGAGTTAGGTTCTGGTTTGCAGTGTGAGGATTAGGAATGATTACTTATAAAGGATACTCGTACATTGCATTGTGTATCGGCTGTTTCAATTAATTTTGTAATTGTGTAATTGCATAACAGTCTTCCTATCATTACCAGTTGGGTCGCTGAGTCCTCCGCTAAAGAAAAGAAAAACCCGTATCACCTTTTGAGCTATTTAAAAAGTACATATGTCCCTCTGAATTTCAGTTGGACCAGTCGGCGCTGGCCCTGAGTCGCGAGTACCTGGTAAAGGGCTTCAACGAGACCCTGGTGAAGGCCTACTACGACTACATGGTGGACATCGCCGTGCTCTTCGGGGCCAACAGGGAGCTGGCCAAGACGGAACTGCTGAGCTCGCTGGAGTTCGAGATGGCCCTGGCCAACGTGAGTTTGTGGCACGCGAAGCCGGCAATCCAGGAGTACCCATTGTCTCTCCATCTTTCTCCCGCAGATCTCCTGGCCCAACGAGAAGCGGCGCAACTCCTCGGAGCTGTACAACCTGAGGACTCCGGCCCAGCTGCAGGCGGCCTATCCGTACGTGCAGTGGGTGGACTACATGAACGCGCTGCTGCCGGAGGGACTGGTCGTGGCCGCGGACGAGATGATCAACCTGTCGGTGCCCAGCTTCTTCGAGGACCTCGGCAAGCTGCTGGCCAAGACGCCGAAGCGGGTGATCGCCAACTACATGTTCTGGCGCATCCACGGCTTCTCGGTGGGCTTCCTCAGCGAGGAGTTCCGCAAGCGGCAGCTGCAGTACGCCACCGCCCTCTCCGGCCGCCAGGAGCAGGAGGCCCGCTGGAAGGAGTGCGTGGACATCGCCACTGGCAGGTTAGTCGTTAGTCGCCCGCCCCTCACCACCCCATTCCAGGGTCAAGGTCATCGGGGCTGCCTGTATCTCTCGTATCTCGTATTTCGTATCTCTGCCTTGTTTCTGTATCTTCTCTTGATTTCTTTGTGATTTGCAGCATGGATGAAGAATCCGAAGAAGATTTCGATAGGTACTTATTTAGAGAATTGCATTAACGATTTCTCGCATCAGAGAAAAACACAAGCACAACAACACACACATCACGCACAGTCAAGGGACACACTTCACCGAACACACGCATTCCAAAATCCACAATGTTTACTAGATTCGTAATTGTTTTAGCCCTGAACAATTCTAGAAATGGTTTCACTTTACAGTACGAAAAATGGCAATCTTCATTCGGGATGATCCAATGTTTATAATGTTTCACTCTCAGTAAAGACCTTAGTTTTTCAAGGGAAATTAAGACTGTCGCCGACGAAACTATTACATTGCTACATAAAATCAGGTATTCAGCACAGAAGCCTTGTTTGGAATTTGTATTTACAAGAAACGGAGAGTGTCAGGTTTTAAATTTCTAATGCAATTTTCGTAGAACTTATATTTTCTCTAAGCAAACAGGACCAAAAGCGTTTTACACTAACAATGTTTTGGGATAAGTAAGTTAGCGATAACTTAAAAAACTAATCAGCTTTTAATTTGTAAACACTTTAAAGATGGGGTAAGAGAATTGTTTTAGGGAAGAAGACTGTTTCGTTGTTAAGAACTAAATTCCTTTAACTATGCATTCCTTGGCCACATCATATATAGCATACTTTCTTGCTAGATATAAAACATTGAGAGCATTACCCATTAAACTCATTTCTGGAGTGGAATTGATAACCTTCCTGGGCATGAGGAATATCGATTTAACAATAAGTGTTTGGGTGAGAGGGCTTGTTCATTATTCTGTGATATAGACGGACATCGGTGATCATTGCCCGTGTGCACCTCAGTAGAGGCACGTGGGGCCGAGATGCACTCGACACCCCATCTTCCCCCACTGCACACTGTGCCGACAGACCCCAGTCGTGAGTCCTAATACGCATGTTCACTTTGTGTTTCGCTTTCACGCCAACTCTCCAACCCACCATTCTAACAACTGCACACCTCCAACCTCCAACCAACCATCGCCAACAACCGACATCCCATTGAATCGATTCGCACCACGCGCCATCTAATCAACCGGTTATCAAATCGCATCCCAGCCTCGGCATTTCCGTGGGATCGCTCTACGTCCGCAAGCACTTCCACAAGGACTCGAAGGCCAACGCCCTGGAGATGGTCAACGACATCCGCGACGTTTTCAACGACATCCTCGACGAGGTCAACTGGATGGATGCCAAGACCAAGAAGGAGGCCAAGGAGAAGCTGCACAGCATGGCCACCCACATCGGCTACCCGGACGAGATGCTCGACAACGAGAAGCTGGCCAAGTACTACGCCAAGCTGGACATCGACCCCGACCAGTACTTCCAGTCCTTCCTGGGCATGAACATCTTCGGCACCAACTACTCCTTCAACAAGCTGCGCCTGCCGGTCAACAAGACGGACTGGGTGCGCCACGCCCGTCCTGCGATCGTGAACGCCTTCTACTCCTCCCTCGAGAACAGCATCCGTAAGTGAAGCTCTGGTTTATTACATCTGGAGATAAGCTCCCATACCGTAACTTCTGGCTGGTAGGATAGCTTCTTTAATGACAATAAAAGATCCCACCTGCTAAAGAAGCCGAAGTTCGGAAGATTTTAGTTAGATTTGATTAGACTAATTTCATTGCAAAAATTCTTTTGTGAATTAAAAGAAGAGTAAACTTAAACTGGTAAGCTGGATTTAGTCAATGATAAGATAACCATAATTCAATGATATATAATGATACAGTATACCAATCACATTTCCTTGATCTCTCTGATAGAAACGGTTAAAGTTAGTTAAGCAATAACAATAGGTGATGTTAATTAGAGTATCTAAAGAGTTGTGTGGTTTCCATGGAAAATTGATAATGAATAGTTAACATATACTCTTCAGTTGGAAACGCTTTTCGTAGTAGAGTTCTGGAGCTAATCCTTGTTCCCAACAGAGTTCCCGGCCGGCATCCTGCAGGGACACTTTTTCAACGCCCAGAGGCCCAAGTACATGAACTTCGGCGCCATCGGCTACGTGATCGGCCACGAGATCACCCACGGCTTCGACGACCAGGGTCGCCAGTTCGATGTGAAGGGCAACCTGCGGGACTGGTGGCAGCCGGACACCCAGAAGGCCTACCTGGCCAAGGCGAAGTGCATCATCGAGCAGTACGGCAACTACACGGAGCGGGCGACGGGTCTTAACGTAGGTGATTCCCTCCCTAACCGCTCCCAAGTGCTAACCTCTCGCTGACTACTCGACAGCTGAACGGAATCAACACGCAGGGCGAAAACATCGCCGACAACGGCGGCGTCAAGGAGTCCTACATCGCGTACCGGAGGTGGGCTCAGAAGCACGGACCGGAGCCGAAGCTCCCCGGCCTGGACTTCACGCCGGAGCAGATGTTCTGGGTGGCAGCCGGCCAAACCTGGTGCGCCAAGTATCGTAAAGGTAAAATCAGTTTGGATCTACCTTACAGGTAGAGGTGAAAGCCACAAGATTGGGGGTTTTCATTTTCATCTTTTGTCTTTGTTTTCCTGAATTCAGTTTTTCATAGTCTCGTAAATATCCATGAAATTTGGCATACAATTTTTATTACGCTTTGAAAAGAAAACCTAAAACCTAAACATTTAGAACTAACGAGTTCAGTACCCAAAGTCGCAATAAACCTAATTAACTAATTAAAGGTACAGTCGAATCCCGATAATTCGTACCCCGCTAAATCAAAAATCGCGATAATTCGTAAAAAATTCTGTTCCCTTGAAAAAAATCCCTTGAAAAAAATCTCGATAAATCGAATTCCCGTCTAATTCGTAAAAAAAGTGATCCCCTTGCCATTTCGAATAATCGGGACTCGACTGTATATACAAATCTGTGCTTAGGAAAGGTATAAGGAAATAATATCTTGGTAGAATAATAGTTATCCAAATGTGTTGCCTAGGTCTTCGACACCTAGTGTGGTTCTTATAAATAAGTTTTGTCTGGCAAGATCATTTAAAGCAAATCCAAATAAAATAGTAAGATGTTCTCGGGTGGACCTTTGGTATTACCAAGTTAACTATATGCCACTTTTCAATATCTACGTAATTGTTTCAGAATCTCTCAAGATGCGTATTACCACCGGCGTACACTCGCCCTCCGAGTTCCGTGTCCTGGGTTCGCTCAGCAACATGAAGGACTTTGCCAAGGACTTCCAGTGTCCAGAGGGCTCGCCCATGAATCCCGTTCAGAAGTGCGAAGTGTGGTAGGATCTGTTCCGGCTTGAATTACGGGTCATTGTGTCCCCGCGGCGCAACAAGTAATATAATGCATGGAATGCCAGCGATCAAGCCCGATTTTAGAAGGGCTAATCTCAAGTAGAAATACAAATACAATACCAAGCGTATCTATGCTAAGTGTGCACTATGTAAAAATCGTATTTAATAAAACAAATTGTTTATATGTGATATGTTCTCAATCATTACTTTTAGTTTTTACTAGTCCGGAAGTAAAACTCTGTTTAAAAGCTTTAGATACTTTATTTTTAACGTCGTTGCAGTATTTTTCCTATTTTATTTATAATGTTCTTTAATTCCTCCCATTGTTCCTTTGGGAGCTACATGACAAAATCTTCGGTTTTTAAGAAAATTAAATTTGTGTAAAACGAGAACTTTTTGATGTGAGCAATAGATGTCGACATTTTAATATTATGATAACTGTTGAGCTTCCATTATGCGCAGTCGATCGGCGACGACATATGTATGTCTTTCCTATGGCAGCTAAATGCTTTACTAGTCCGATTTTTATGATTTTATACCCTTGCAGAGCAAAGGCCCAGCAAAATTTAGGCCAGAAGTTTGTTTTAAAGCTATCTTGCTGAAACTTTCCCAAAAGTTGTGCACGCAGAGTATAAGTCGGAATGGGCCGGATCGGCCGATCGGATAGCTCCTATTCAAGAGAATGAACGATTGACTGGATTTCTTCCAGATGGCGTTTCTATTGAATTCCGAATTAAGAAAAAATGCGCTTTTTTGTATATTATTTCTCGTTATATATAAAAAGTTCGATAATTTTACGTAGTTTAAGAATACGTTTTAAAAAAAAATAAATATTAGGTTCCCTCGATCTTGTAGAGGATCTCCTAAAGGTCCATTTCAAAAAGGTGTTTTGCGGTGAGGAAGATACCTGTGATCCAAATTATCAGATACAAATCAGAAATGCAAAAGAACGAAAGGATTAACTAAAGGATAGATAAATACCGGTAATGACACGGGGAGTTTTCTAAATTTTGATTTTAGACAAAATGACGCATTTCCAAGCGTTAAACTTGTTTTTTGGCACGAAAATTTAGTGACTAAAAAAAATCGACATTTTTATCAGAACCAAAATTTCTCGTGCCATTACCTGAAAAAATATCTAAGAGCCTGTAAAAATTTCAAGTCAATCGGTCAAGCCGTCTCGGAGAAATTTTTCTCACCGACTTTGAAAACATAGTTTCGAAAAAAACGCGTTTAAAGTTTTGGCTACTATTTGAACTACGTTGGAGATGTCTTTACAAATACGCTCATTACTCCAAAACAATTTACTGGATTACTTTAAAATTTTCAGACAATATTTTTAAATGTTTATACATACATTCAAAATCACCAAAACGAAAAATTTTGATTTTTTCTAAATTATATATAAGTATGGATTATGATATGATCAAATATTTTGAATTTTCAATTTTGAACTCCTTTCCACTATATTCGAACAGATCCGCATTAAAAGTTATCGAAAAATTGAACCGCCTAGAAAAAATGAATGTCCAACGATGTCCTCCAACAGGTCAGAGTTTACATCGTTCAGAAAAACACCCTGCTAAAGGCCGCCGACAAACCTTTCTGGGAAGAACGCCAGCTTTCCCTCCTGCCTTGCATTCAGGCTACGCATGTCCAGCGACAGTTTCCTCTTTCTCTGAAAATGCTCTTTTGGAAGGACGTCTTCCACGTCGTCTCGAACTTGCCCAATTTCCCGACGTGGTGCTGCAGGTCGTATGGGAACGGGTAGCCCCGGCAAAAGCCATCTCTTCATTTTTCACGTCATTTTTAGGCCACATCTCTAAAAAAGTACTTGGCCAGCACGGGATAGCTCAAGAGTCTTGACGGTCTCCTTGGTGGAGACCCATTTGGCCAGCCCAGAATACATAAGTCCTTCCTCATCTGCTCCCCACCGCCTTAGAAAAAAGGACAGCCTTCTGTCGACTGCCATTGTTTAAAAGGGATTTAACGGTCTTTACTTTATATTTTACTTGATCACGACATAAAAGCGCCAGTGAGACAGAGGGATGAATTTGAAATGTAGATAACGAATTTAGGAGGGTGACGCGGCTTAATTTAGACCAGTGCCGCCACTAGTGTTATTTACTTTTCCATGTTCCCATAACAACCTAACGCTTTTTCCGGCGAAAGTACGCATCGCTGTTTCACCGTCTGGCAACCTTGCCCTTTTACCTTCTGGCAACACTAAACCGCAGCGTGGCCGAGTAAATTTTTTTGCAAATATTTTCTTGCAAATCTTCGCCAGCAGCAGAAAAAAGATGTCGGCCCTTAATCTGACCGTTCGCGTGCACCCTGTGGTGCTGTTCCAGGTCGTGGACGCCTTTGAGCGCCGAAACGCTGACTCGCACCGCGTCATCGGCACCCTCCTCGGATCCGTCGACAAGGGAGTGGTGGAGGTGACCAACTGCTTCTGTGTTCCGCATAAGGAGCACGACGACCAAGTGGAGGCAGAGCTGAGCTACGCCCTGGACATGTATGACCTCAACCGCAAGGTGAACTCCAACGAGAGCGTGGTGGGCTGGTGGGCCACAGGCAACGACGTGACCAACCACAGCTCGGTGATCCACGAGTACTACGCCCGCGAGTGCAACAACCCGGTGCACCTCACCGTAGACACCTCGCTCCAGGGCGGTCGCATGGGCCTCCGCGCCTACGTCTGCATCCAACTCGGAGTGCCCGGCGGCAAGAGCGGTTGCATGTTCACCCCCATTCCCGTCGAGCTGACCAGCTACGAGCCAGAGACTTTCGGACTCAAGCTGCTGCAGAAGACCGTGGGCGTGTCGCCCGCCCACCGGCCCAAGACTGTGCCGCCCATGTTAGACCTGGCCCAGATCTCGGAGGCCTCCACGAAACTGCAGTCCCTGCTGGACCTGATCCTGAAGTACGTCGACGACGTGATCGCCCACAAGGTGACGCCGGACAACGCTGTTGGCCGCCAGCTTCTCGACCTCATCCACTCCGTGCCGCACATGACTCACGAGCAGTTCACCCAGATGTTCAACGCCAACGTGCGCAACCTCCTGCTGGTCATCACGCTCTCCCAACTCATCAAAACCCAGCTGCAGCTCAACGAGAAGCTCACCTTCCTGCCCACCGCCTAGAAAGGTGGTTCGTGGTGCAGTGGGGATATCTACTTACGGTGAAATTGTAAATGCAGATTGTTTCGGATTGTGTGTTGTATCAACTGGTCTGGGTAATAAAGTGCTCAGATCGCAAAAACAAAATTCAACTTGTGTCGACTTAAATGCTTAAATCAAAAATTCTATTATGCCCGAGAATAAAGATCTTAATATTAGGAATCCTAAGTGGGTCCCTAAGGAAATAGCTAAGCTCAGATATGGGATGTTTACTTGGAACTAAAGTGTAGATCTACCATTCTAACCCAGACCGTACTTGGAGTGAATATCTTGATCACACTGTCCTTGGATGGGAAAGTGCATCTTCTTTGAAATTTCATGGTTGGCGAACATTCCGGCTTACTTAGGAGTAGTTGTGCTCTATAAATCAACAAATTATTTGCCATGCGACCCAAACAAAACAGTTTTAAGGGCATTGGAATAATTTCTGAGTGTTCCATTTTCATATTTCACTCACCACCCAGAAGCACGCTTCATTTTATATCATTGGAAATAATGCTAAGCAACATAAAACGCTTTAATTTCCGTTAAGTATAAGATTATAAGATCTTGGCTTTTCAGCCCAGATCCGTTTGTTTGGAATTCCTGATTTCGAATAATTGGATAGACGTTGGCGTCGATTCTGATTATTTTAAAAAAGGATGTGCAATTTTTGGGCGTAGTAGATATACACATGCATGCATGGATAGGGTATATATTCCAGATCAGCACCACCATCTGATTGTTTTAAGGAAAACTAGTTTTGCACCTTAAATCCTGGAACTAACGACTCCTAAATTACATAGCGAGTGGATCTATCGAATTCCGTGCAAAAAATTAAACATTAAAAGATTAAAAAAAACTGAAATGTAAAACTACCGATTACATTCTGATAATTTTTTCATTTCTAGAAGCACACACAAAAAATAATTAAATCAATTACTTTGGCACTTCGGCTCAATCAGTAGCGGATTTAGAATTTCAATCTGGGGGGCTTTTCGATTGAAAAAAAATACGAATACGAAAAAAACGAATAGTTTCAATTCATTTTTACCGCTCTGCGGTCCGTCAACCATGTAAACTAAATAAATTTTTAATTGGACGCCCAGGCCAAACTAAAAAATTGTTCGATCGGATCCCCCCAAATTTTTTTTGCATCCGCCCCTGCCTTATACATAAAGGCTGCTGCTGAGCATCCACCTACTAAGCCTTTCTGTTTGCCTGGTGTTTGGGATCTTGAAACCAGCCAATTTCAATATGAAATTCGATTTCTGACACCAGGCCAACATAATCAATAGCAGGATGTAGCTGGTAAAACTGAATTTACTTAAGTAACGGTTCTTTTTTAAGTTAACTGTCCTTGGCACACTTCCCCTCACTGTTTCCACCAATCAGAACGCCGCATCACTCGAAAGAACCGTTATTTCAAAGTAAACATCAGATCAGAGATGCGAAACCACGCTGATTCTTTGTGCGTTTCACGAAATAGCACGCCGCGCACAAGTAATTAATTAATTTCCATGTGGTTGTTGTTGGCGTGACAAGAATAATTTGTCACGCGCTCAACACTGAACAATCCAATTTTAAGCTGATCAGCTGATCGATTTACACTTGCTAAGCGGTTATGTTGGCCTGGTGTTTAAAATTTAGTTCGTCGCAATTTGCTTGCAGAAAATGTTATTCCTTTTATCAGGGGCGGACGCAAGGGGGTGAGCCAGGATAACCGGACTCCCTCCGAAATCTCTGACTTCTTCAAAACCCCTTGCAGCACACGGTCCGTCAACGAAATAAACTAAATAAATTTTTAATTGGACACCCAGACCAAACTAAAATATTGTTCGATCGGATCCCCCCAAATTTTTTTTGCATCCGCCCCTGCCTTATACATAAAGGCTGCTGCTCTGCGGTCCGTCAACCATGTAAACTAAATAAATTTTTAATTGGACACCCAGACCAAACTAAAATATTGTTCGATCGGATCCCCCCAAATTTTTTTGCATCCGCCCCTGCCTTATACATAAAGGCTGCTGCTGAGCATCCACCTACTAAGCCTTTCTGTTTGCCTGGTGTTTGGGATCTTGAAACCAGCCAATTTCAATATGAAATTCGATTTCTGACACCAGGCCAACATAATCAATAGCAGGATGCAGCTGGTAAAACTGAATTTACTTAAGTAACGGTTCTTTTTTAAGTTAACTGTCCTTGGCACACTTCCCCTCACTGTTTCCACCAATCAGAACGCCGCATCACTCGAAAGAACCGTTATTTCAAAGTAAACATCAGATCAGAGATGCGAAACCACGCTGATTCTTTGTGCGTGTCACGAAACAGCACGCCGCGCACAAGTAATTAATTAATTTCCATGTGGTTGTTGTTGGCGTGACAAGAATAATTTGTCACGCGCTCAACACTGAACAAGCCAATTTTAAGCTGATCAGCTGATCGATTTACACCTGCTAAGCGGTTATGTTGGCCTCAGTAGCGGATTTAGAATTTCAATCTGGGGGGTTTTCGATTGAAAAAAAAATACGAATACGAAAAAAACGAATAGTTTCAATTATTCGTATTCGTGTGCACCAAACATGGATCCTGAAGGTCGAATGGAAGGTATATTTGTTATACATAAATTATTTTAATGTTTAAACTTTGGCCCCTATCACTTTTGAATAGTAAACAGTGAAATGTTGTCTCTCTTTTTTAAATCATTAAACGCCGAATATTTCATCTTTGAAATACTTTATTATAAAACTAAGCGAAATTCAAATAGATTCTTTGATGTATTTATACAGAAAAATTATTCATATACTGATCAAGTTTAAAAGTTAATCATAAAATTCAAGAAGTGTATGGAATATACAAGTTTTTGATTTGTATGCTTAGATAAATAAATAAGAATAACGACAATTAGAAATAAAATCTTTCACGTTATATGCACATCATGTAATATGTAAGTATATAATATTATGTACTTATGTTAGTGTGTTGCTTTCGGATGGGTGTTTGTATATAGTTTAGGTACATTGGATACGTCGTTAGGTATTTTGTGTGGGCTGGGCGTGTAGGATAGATAGAACACTGAAACTTTAGGTTCAGAAGTAACCGAATTCTCGGACTCGAAAAGAAAAACGTCTATTTAATGTACAATTTTTATATGTCTGTAGATATATCGATGCGCGCAATATACAATTTCAAAATTTTAACAATGTTCAAAGAATTTTTTCCTTAATTTGCGTTAATTTCGTGTTCCAATAAGTTTTAACACACATTTTGATCGCGTTTTGCAACTTTACTTTGACTTGGCGTAAAACTTTAGAGAGCTTGGCTTTTTAAACATATTTATGTATAACGTCGGATTTTTAAACATGTAGAATATCGTATATAAAAAGTTAAAATCTTAGTCAAAAAGCAATGCAGACACTCAAAAACTTCGTACTTATATAGAAGCGATTAACACTAGTCTGAAACGTTTTGTATTTGACTTTGCTCGTAACATGGATATATGTAGTGTATATGCATATCTGAACACACGGATTACGTCGGTAGTTAGTATCTACGTATTACTAGTACAACAACAACAATCAATGCTGCAATAGCAACAAGAACAACAACAATCCCCGTTTCGGCCTCGGATCCAGTTAGAGGACCCAGTTAGACGCAGCTGAACTTGATGCCGTCGTCGCTGGAGTAGCAGTTCTGGCAATGCAGCTTGTGGTTCCGCACCCGGACGTCGGTGCCGTTGAGGCCATCTCCCAACTGGACGTGGCACACGCAGCACTTGAAGCAGTTGATGTGGTAGAACAGCAGCAGGGACTCAATGATCATGGCAGCGCCGCGACCTGTGGAAAGTGAGCAAGTTTGAGTTTTAGCAAGAACGTCGTATCACAAGTTATTATTGCGTTATAAAGAAAATCCGATGGCGGAAGAACCACTAGTAAAAAGTTTTCGAATTCCATTAGATTAAATTCGTAATAGCTTTAATATAGATTCCGCCAAGGAATATTTATTATATAAGGTATAGACATTAGACATTAGATTCCGCTTCTAAGATTTTTTAATAATGTACCTCAATCATTAAAATTTCGCTTAGTCAGATATGGTAATCAAGTCTTTTTTGAATTACACCCAAACAATGTATTTGAGCGCTTTGTGCACTTGACGACAGTTGTCGTGGGTGCAGCCCAGATCTGTCACAGACATGTAAGTGGAATATAGAAACTCATGGTGAAAAGTTCGTGGCTTGTTGGGAGGGAGAAGCGTGTGATGACCAACATGACTCGACCATGAGACTAGTGAGTCCGAGTGTGTGTTATTCTTGTGATGCTCGCCGTGACAACAAGCCTAGGAGATGGTTCCAAAGGTGAAGGGTGAAGAGGGGGGTTCGGGAGTAGAAGAACAACCACAACACTCACAACCAACGTAGTAGCAAAGTTTACCTAGTTCGTCGCCGCAGTGGGAGCACTTCTTCTTGCCGCTGACGCTGAGCACCTTCTCCTGGTTGCCGCCGCCGTTGATGCCCATGTTGTTCATGTTGCTGCCGTTCGCGGTGCTGCTCTTCTGCTGCTGCTGCTGCTGCTGGTAGACGTTGCTGTTGCCGTTCAGCTGGCTGTAGTTGCCGTTGCCATCGAAGCTGCGATCGAAGAAAGGCATAGTGTTAATAAGTAGTTGTTATAAACGTGACACATGTGTTCTCAAGACTCAAAACTAAGTAAATGGATTCAATGCTAATTTAATAGCTCTTACCCTCATACACCTATTGAACGGGTCACATATACTATTTGTTATCAACAAAACTTCTGGAAAATGTATCTCCCCAAATTAAATTTGTTTTTAAGGTCAAGTTTAAACAGGGATAATACAAAATTAACTTTAATTACATGCAATACTTGAGCTCGACAATCGAAAACAAAAAATAAATTATGGGATACGTTTTTAGAAACTTCTGCTTTAAGGAATATATAGATAATCCCCTATAGTATTTCCTTCAAGGTTCAAAGGAAAGCCTTAAACAAAACCTTAGCCTAAGCTGGAAAAACCATCCCAGTTCAAACTGACTACCCACCGTTTCCGCTCGCCGATGCCCTTGCTCTGGACCCGTTCCGTCAGCGTCTGGATGATGGAGTCGGGCAGCGGCTTGCCCGCGGACTTGCTGGCCGGCACCGACCGCCGGCTGGCGAGCTGCTCGATGCGGCGCTGCTCCGCCTCCTGCAGCAGCCAGTGGTTGTTGTTATAGAGCGCTCCGCCGTAGTCCGGCATCGACTTGCGCTTCTGCTGCTGGGCGGCGAGCCACGCGGGGTCGCTGGCCTGGTGGCTGTCGAAGCTCTTCCGCTGCTGCACCTGCACCCACCCGTCCGTGTACTTGGGCTTGGGCGTGGCGCTCAGGGCCAGCAAGGTGTTCCGGGACATGTTGCTCAGGTTCTGGGCCGACTGGTGGTGGTAGGCGGCCGCCGTCGGAACGGGATACCCTTGGCCGCCCGGTGGCCGTGCCGGCAGAGGTGCCCCGGCGATCTTCACCAGGGATCCGCCGTACGGAGCCGACGGCTGGCGCTGCCGGGTGCTGACCGCGTAGTCCGGCTCCAGGCCGTGACCGTTGGCGGCCAGCTGCATCGCCCGCAGGGGCTTGGTGGGCGGCGTCGGCGGCAGCATGAGGCGGCCGGAGAACTCGTTCAGGTCCGACATGGACTTGCGGTAGTCCGTGTCCATCTGGTGGTAGGCGTACAGCGCCGCCTGCTGCTGCTGCTGCTGCGGCACGTTGGCGTAGATCTGCTGCGGATGTGGCGGTGCCACTGGCGCCTGGAGGTGCTGCGGCTGCGGCGGCTGGAAGGCGCTCAGCATCCCGTTTCCGATGCCGATGCCGTGGTGCAGGTCCTGCAGCGAGCGCCTGTTGTTCGCCATCAGCATCTTGGCTCCGTGCTGCAGCTCCCGACGCGCCAGGTTCTCGCGCAGCAGCAGGTTCTCCCGCTGCCGCTTCAGTTCCTCCTGCTGAATGGGGAAGCAAGTGCTTTAAAATGCTGTTTTGGGAGGCACAAGGCCAGCCTTCTACTCACCGAAAAGTGCAGCAGCTCGCGCTCCACCCGCAACACCTCGCCTTGCTCCCGGATCTTGTCCTCGATGGACTGCATCTTGGCGTTGGCGGTCGCCGTGGCCTCGCTCAGCGACTGGGTGGCCGCCGCTGCCGCCGTCGCCGACTCCGTCCAGGACTCGGCCGAGTTGCCCTTGACCGTCTGGAGCAGGGGCGTCTGCGCGGCCAGGAGGCCTTCGTTCTGGTAGATCACCTCGCTGACCAGCTGGCTGCTCGCCGGGGGCGGTGGCAGCGGCGGGGGCGTGGCCTCCGACTGGGTGTCGTTCTCCTCAGAGGAGTTCGTGTAGTGCTCGCTGCTCTGACGGGAATGGTTCTCGGAAACTCCGGAATCGCGGCTTTCGCCTGGAGGAGAAAAGGGCGAAGTGGAGGAACTAAATTAGGCATCACTATACTTTCTACCGAAATAGTTAAAATTAAATTAATTAGCCAAAACCCATCCAGACTTCAAAGAGACAACTTTATCAATACTTTAAGGTATTCTTTAAATGCATTATTTTATCTAGTTTCCCGATTAAATTAAAAATATATCTCTTCTTGAACCTATAACCAATTATTTTCGAACCCAAAAACAAAAGTGGAAACTGATTCGCTATTGGCAGTTCAACACCCGGAGGGGGAGCAAACCCACCAAAGGTGCGAGGGTCCGGTGGCCACGCACACTAAACGGATTATTTATACTTAACCTCGCGGGGCAGAGGGTGCGGCTTGGCCCCCATCGCACCCGTCCCCTTCCCCCTCCCCTTTCCCTTTCCAGCTGGGAATTTGCTCATTGCTGTCGTCTTTCGCTTTTACGGCCTGTTGGCTTTGGTATCGGCTTTCTGCCCCCACCCAATCACTCGACCACCCGACCATTCAGACACCCGCCCATCCAGCGATAGACTCACCTGTGTCGGAACTGTCGCAGAGTCCCGCCTTGATGTAGAGCTGCTTCTCCAGCCGGCGCTCCTCCTGCAGCAGCTGGGCCATGTCCGGCGGCGGGGCCACCGTGAGCTCCAGGTAGGTCTCCATGTCGTCCAGGTCGCCGTCGGTCTCGATGCCCAGGAAGCTGGAGCGCTTGTTGCGCAGCTCCTTCTTGATGCGCTTGGTGGAGTTCATCCGCTTGATGGGCGGCGACGGCTGGGCGGGCTCCAGCTGGCCCTGCAGGTGCCGCCTCGTGCCGTTCGAGATGGTCTCGTAGGTGTTGTCCGAGGACCAGGTGTCGGTGTGGTGGCCCAGGCTGCTGCCCAGTCCGTCCAGCTCGTCGTCCTGACCCACCTCCGTGGGGATCGGCGGCGGGCTCTCGGTGGGCGGCGGCGGGGGCTTCTCCTTGGGCGGCTCCATCACCCCCAGCGGGGCGGCTCCCGCTCCCTGGCCGATCTCCAGGCCCGAGTAGAAGATCTCGATGTTCTCGTACACGGGCACGGGTCGCAGGTGCTTGGGGGCGTCGTAGTAGGGCTCCGTGGCCTTGGGCACCTGGTAGTAGGGCTCCGGATCCCCCGAGGTGGCCGGTGGTGCTGCTGATGCTGCTGCCACGCTGCTCTCCTTTTGATTGCTGCTGCTGCTACTTTTGGCTGTTTGATTGGGGCTCTGATTGCTCTCGTTGTTGTTGTTGCTGGTCTGTTTGCTTGGAATGCTCCTCCGGTGACTCCTCCGCGTCGCCTGCGTCTGTGTGGTTATCGTCATCGCTGCTATCTGTTCATTATCTACTTCGTGCATAGATATGGTCGAGCTGACATTCTCGTAGATGGGCTCCCGCTCCCCCTGCTTCTGCTCGTCGGTCTTATTTGGCATTTCCCCTCCCTCGCCGCGTGGCTCCCCCTGCTCAGGAGACTCCTCCCCCGGCTGCCCCGGCTCCTCCCGAGTTGGCTCCCCCTCCTCCGGCGTGGCCACCAACTCCTCCTGCTGCTCCTCTTCCTCCTCCTCCTCCTCCTCCTGCTTCTGCGGATGTTGCGCCTTGTCCATCGGCTTGGTGGTCGCCTCGCGATCGATGGCCTGCAGCGCCAGTTCAAGAGCTTCGTTGATCTGTGGGGCGGGATGAGGTGGGCGTGGCATGGCGAGCGAGCGAGCGAGAAAGCGTCAAAAGCGTGCATGACAGAGAGAGAGAGAGAGAAGAATGCGCATGGATCGCATGAGTTTCAGTTAGTTCAAACAAAGGCTGGCTTGCAAATTAAACAAACAACTAAAGATAACGAAATCAAATTAAAATATACACAAAACTCAATCAAACAATAACTGGGCGAAAGACGGAAACACAATATCGAAGGAATTTGGGTTGCAATTTCGAAGAATTTCACAGGACAGTACGCTCTCACCCAATAATGTTTTGAGGGCAGATAACCAACTACGCCGAAAAAAAGGCGATGGCAAATACAAAGTGGTCTCATGAGTACAGATAATCCCCAACTAATCCTTAACACACGGGCTTGGCCAATAACGAAAAGAATTCTAGTTTGAAAGATTACAAAAGTACAAGGCAAACCAAGTTAAAGGAATCTAATGATTAAATTGGAGAAGGACTAGTAATCCTGTGTAAATATACCTGATAATAAAGTTGATTAACAAAGTTGATTAACATCAACTTCCCAGTTCTTCTATACTTGAGTTCGATTAGAACATCGAAATGCAACTGATTTGCCTTTGCTAATTTTGGATCCTATTTAGACCCCTCAAAGACCCCTATCAGACTTTCCGGTTCTTATAAATTCTGAAGAGATTCCAGGAATCGATTATATATACTTGGGGAAGCACTTGGCAAGTATGGGACAGAGTGAGGAGTCTAGCCGCTTACCCCTGGTTTCGATCGAACCAACCCAACGAACTGGAGCACTGCAATCGATTCGCTCGGTATCTACGGGGAACACTCTAGATAGCAGTCCGTCCGATGCGAATTATTCGCACGATTATATTTTATGGGGGGCTGTAGAGATAGTCGACAGTGGTACGTATCCAGCTATCGGAAATGTCACTGCAAGACCGAACCGCTAGCAACGAGGGCTTAGAGCGCACTAACCGAGGGTTCTACGTCTGAGAACAGACAGAAACGATTTTTTTAGATAAAGAAGGGAGGTACTACACATATGGGGCGGCAAAACTGCAGAGGCAGCACTCCGGGTCTGCAGATCGGGGCTGATTACGCCTACACTGCGCTGAATCCGGGCTGAAACCCCACCAGGCGATGGTGACTTTTGGCATTTTAAATAGGTGCTAGTGGGTGAGGCGCAACATGCAATGCAACCAAGAACGTAAACAAACGAGGAGAACGGAACGAAAGGAACACAAGAGGCACAAATCAGGGGGATATGAGATAGAGAACCGCTTACCTCGGAAATTGTATACTTGCAACAACTTTTGCTGGCAGTAAGCATGTAAACTATGTAACTGCGTTAATAGATAAGTCATATTTTACATTGTTTAGCCAACAAACGAGCGCAAGGCATGTAAGAGAAATATGCAATCGGATTATGACAGTGAATGGTTCAGATAGCAAGTAGAATAGAGCCTTAAATATAGTAGCCTTAACCTCTGGCATTGGGTTTGGGATTCCAGGGGGTGTTCGGGATTAATTGGACATTTTTTGTGGGGGAACCGGGATCCATCGCTTTATCCGCATCCAGCGTCGACGACTTGATTATTTTTCCAGAAGTTTTCTAAATTATTTTCTAAATGGTGCTTTGATTTATAACACTTTAAAAGCGGGAACAATAATCCAAAAACTAGAACTCTCAAGTTTTACATAAGTTTGTGTAATTTACGCACTGGTACACAGCTTCAAATACTAAACCGCCAAGCAGTGCAAGCAGTTCGATTTCTAGCGTCATGAATAAGCGAAATTTACAGGCGGCGTGTAGAAAAATAAGTATTTACATCTACTATTAACACTGCACTTTCGTCAGACTGATTTCTGATTTCGGTTTTAGTTTAGGTTTATTCATAAAATAGCACAACAATTATATCTCATTTGTATTTATAATATTTGTCCTCCTCTGTATTATTTGGTATGCTTCTGAGGTTTCATTAATCTTTTTTTGTGTGTTTAGCGCGAAAAGATTTCGCTCTTCTTTCGTTTTTGTGTGTATGCTTGTGTATAAAATATATAACCATAGAACATATGTTTGACATTTCATCGTATAAAATAAAATTTTGTTTTCATACATAATTATTGGGTTTAGTATAGTGTATTATCAAATAAAGAGAAACTGTAGCTTACGTAGCTTGAGCCCACAACAAAATGTCAATAAGAACCGATTAGCATTTGATAGAAAAACAAAAACCGGGTTAAAATAAATAGTTTGTGAAGAATAAATTCGAATTACATTCGTTGTTTTTGATTGTAAAATGTTCAAGCTCAGATTTGTGTTCGATTCAAAGGAGTCATGGTTGGTCAGAGTGGTGGTCAGTTGGTCTCGAAAGCCAGCGAATCGCCGGAGAGATCACGAATCACCCCGGAGCACTAAGAAGCCCGGGCTTCCACTCCGAAACTACTTATTCAGGGTCGCGGCTCCCGCCGCCTCCAGCTTCAGGATCTCGTCGTCCAGCAGGTCGCTGATCTCCTGGGTGAGCGCCTGCTCGGTGGTGTTCTCCTCCAGGATCTCGTCCGTGGTGATCTTCTTCCGGATCTCGATGTTAACGGGCGCAGGGGTCTTGGGGAGGGGCGGTGGTGCCGCCTCCGCCTCCGCCTCCTCTTCGCTGGCCACGTAGAACTTGGAGTTGTCCACCCGGAGGAACTCGTCCGCGTTGACCACGTCCACGCCGCTCTTGGTGCTGGTGAGCACCACCTTCTTCTCGAGCGTCTCGTTCAGCGTGGGGTGGTGCTGGGGCTCCTCCTGGTGCCCGAAGTTCCTCCTCAGGAAGTCGAATATGTTCTTGGCCTTCTTTTCCTTCACAGGTGGAGCGGCAGTTGCGGCCGGAGCGGGCCGAGGCGAGCTGGGCGGCGAGACCTCCTTGATCTGGATCTCCGTCTCCACCAGGTGGGTGCGCGCTATCAGCGGCTGCTCCACGGGCGACGGAGGGGCGGCGGGGGCGTAGCCCGCTCTGCCGATCGAGTCCGTTCCGGAGGCCGCGATGCAGCAGGGTTTGGGTATGGGAATCTTGGACCGGCGGCCCAGAAGCGGGGTCGCCGGCTTGGCCTCCGCCGCCTCCGGCAGCGAGCTCCTCATCATCTGGCTGCTGGCCAGGCGCTCCTCCGCGATGATCTGCTCGCAGGTGTCCATCAGCGCCTTCGAGTGCGCTGCCCTGGCACTGCCGATGGGTGAGCTGGGTCGGATTGGAGGGGCAGCACTCCGGCCGGACCTGTCGCACCGGCGCACCTCCTCCTCGCTGACGTCCTGGAAGCCAGTGGCCGGCACCGGGCTCTTCTTCACGTCGACGCTGTCGCAGAGGGGCTCCTGCGCCGGCGCCAGGCAGTCCAGCAGTCCCGCGCACAGGGCCACGTCCTCCTCGCTGGGCTCCTCCTCCGGCTGCCCCACAGCCTGGGTCTCCCTGGGCCCGTCGCACCTCCTCACCAGGTCCTCGGTCACGCTCTGGTAGCCGGTGCTGGGCAGCGGCGCCTTGGCCACGTCGATCCTATCACAGGGCCTCTCCTCCACCGCGAACCGCTCCAGCATCCGGCGGTCCTCCTCGGCCAGCTGGAGGTCCCTGGGCGCCTCTCTGTCCAGGAACTGCTGGCACAGGGCCACCTCCCTGTCCACATCCACCGAAGGCGAGGTGGGTCGCGACGAGGCCATCTTGAACAGGCTGGACTCGTTCGGCGAGCAGGCCTTCAGCGAGGGCATCTCGCTGGGCGAGGACGTGTGCAGGTACAGAGAGTCGTTGGGCGCCAACGGATCGAGGGACCTGCCCGCCGGGGGACTCGTTTTCACGGGGGGCGTGTGCACGATGGCCCTGGTCTGACCCACCACCGGAGCGTAGTCCCCGGAGCTGCGGTCCACCTCGTCCGCCTGCGCTCTCTTCGGCGGCTTCGGGGAAGCCGGAGGAGTGATCTGGGGAATGCGGCTTCTGGGCAGCGGCTTGGGGGACAGCACGGGCGAGGTGGGCGGCGGGGCGTCGCTCTGGCTGAAGCAGTTGGACAGGGCCTTCACGGTGTTGGGCTTGGGCAGCTCGTCGGGATGGACGACGGTCACGGGGGAGCGCACATGACCACCTCCGGAGGCGGAACCACTTCCCTGGCTGGCTGCTCGATCCTCACCGTTCTCCTCGGCGGAGCTGGCGGCGTGGGCGGCCTGTCCAGTTGCCGCGAGTTGAAGATCTCCACGCGGCCGTTGATGCTGAACTGCGGAGGGGAAGCCCCGGCGGTCGGCGGCGAACCCGCGGAGTGGACTGGGACCCTAGGCCCCGGGGCCTTTCTCACCGCCTTGGGCGACATGGGAGGCTTGCCCAGGGGACGCGGTATCTGGGTGGGGACCGGACTCGAGGCGGAGGGCGTTGGGAGAGGTGCCTGCGCACTGCTCGGCTGGCTGGTAAAGTCAAAGACCTGGCTAAACTGACCCGGCGAGGTGACCGGCTCACCGACCTCTTTCAGGTCTTCGTCGTTCTGGAAGGTCTCCTTGAACATTTTAAGCAAGTTGCGGTGGTGGACCATTTCGTTGGAGGGCTTTCTACGCAAGTTACAATTGGGGGATGGGGAGGTGGGATTGGAAGTGGGTGGGGGAGTGGGAGTGGGGCCAGATTCCGACACCGCTGAAGCAGCTACTACATCAACATCACAAGGACTTATCCTAGCGGATTCGATAAAACTGTTAGTAGAACTTACACTAAATTCCATGTCCCGCAACGGAGGAGCAGCCGCCTGGTTGGCCGACTGGTTGGCTGCCTGCGATGCAACTGGTGTCGATGCGACCGCTGCTGCTGGTGGAGTCTGTTGCACGGAGGGATGGGCTGGTGAAGGCGGAAGAGGCGAGGGATTCAGGTCGGTCAGCTCGTCGAACTCCGCCTCGATCTGGTTGACCGCGTTGGCCGCCTCCTCCAGCTGCCGCTCCTCGAGGGCCAAGGCGGCGATGGCCGCGTTCAGCTGCTGCTGCTGCTGCTGCAGCTCGTCGGCGGTGTCCTCCTGGATGCCGCTGTCGTCGTTGGTGGCCGCCACCGGTGGCTCCTCTACGATCAAGGCTGGTGGTGCCTTCTGCTGGTGCACTGGCTCCCGCTCCCGCTGCTGCTGTTTCTGTTGCTGCTGTTGGTGCTGCTGCTGCTGGCGCATCCGCTCCTCCTCGCCGCGCATGATCTCCAGCTGCCTGGCGTCGATGAGGGCCACCAGCGGGGGCTTGCGCTGCTCCTCTTTGGTCACGGACTGCTGCAGGCTGTTCAGCCGCTGCTTGAGTGGCGGCACCGGCACGTCCACGCTCTTGCTGGAGTTGAAGGCCTTGCGCTGCTGCTCCAGACTCTGCATGCGGTCCCGGATGCTGGAGATGTCGCCGGAGAGGCGCCTTCCATCCGACTTGGGGACGGCGGGCGCCGCGTTGCCGTTGGTCAGGCGATCGCGGAGCACCAGCTTAGGGGCAGCAGGAGCGGCTCCCACGAAGACCGGCTGCTCGTTCCTGGCCTGCTCGAAGATCTCCTTGCGCTTCGAGATGTCCACCTTGGGCACGTCCACCTTTTGCTTCTCCACGCCCTCCTGGGTGTCGCTGGGCGAGGTCACCTCGAACCCGCTCAGGCGGTCCTCGATCTTGGATCCCCGTCTGGTGGGATAGGCGATCGGTTCTCCCACCGCCTTGCCGTTGCTGCTGGCGTTTCCGTTTCCGTTGCTGTTCGCGTTGCCGTTGCTGCTGGCCCGCTGGACCCTCTGCTTGTAGTCCTGGATGGCTCCCTCGTAGGTGTACTCGCACGGGTCCGGAGAACTGGCCGGCGCCGTGCTGGAGGACGTGTCGTATCCCGGCGAGGAGATGTACTCCCTGCCCACCGTCTTTCCGGGATTCGAGGCGCTCGCCTGGCCAGCGGCCACTCCGTTGCCGTGGTTTCCGTGATTCCCGTTGCTGCCGCTGCGGATGATGTGGTTCTGCTGCTCGTCCACGTTCCTAGCGATTCCTCCAGCAGCTCCAGCAGCGGCTGCGCCCATCGCTTTGTCCAGCTCGGCGGCATGGTCGCTCTGTGGAGGGGATCAAGATGGAGTTCGGTTAGAAATTTGCAGATGAGCACTGCAGTGTCCATGAGTTATAACTAGGAACGCTGCCGCTGTGTTTTAATGCTTTAAATAATGTTCCTGCTCTGATCCTATCGAACCTAAGAACGGAAGAGGTACATATGAGGCAAGCCAGCTGGGTAGACACCACAGGCCAAAGACAAGCCAAAATCCTCATCGTCAATTATGACATGAAGAGGTTTAAGAAACTTATACTACTAGGGAAGAGATCACTTAGGATAGTTACCGGCTTACAAACCGGACACTGCAAACTAAGGAGACACCTATTTAATATAGGGATTACAAACAGAAAAACATGCAGATTCTGTGATAGCGAGGATGAAACCTCCCTACACATAATATCAGATTGCCCAGCACTAAGTAGCCTGAGGAGCAGAACCCTCGGGTCCAGGTTCCTTACACTTGGGACCTCTGGAAGCATCGACCCGATAAAGATCCTTAACCTTATCGAAGGAGCCGGGTTGATGGGTGAGCTCTAAGCTCAGTTAGGGGGTACAATAGATCCAGTTGGGTCGAGGTAACCTTCCCCCCCCTCCTATTCTGGTAGCTAGTAATCAGTGCGGAGTGTCGCCACTTCTTCAGTATTAGTATCGAGTACATATAGAGAAAGCTGTAATCATGTAAAGAAGATCTGACTTGTTGAAGTGAAAACTTCTTTTTTTAGAGGAACTGTGTACTATATAACTCTATACAATATGAAAAAACGTTTTTACTTTGGTATAAAACCATATTTAATAAAAGAATCACACTTTTTTTTTTTAAACTGATTTAAAGCGTGGTGTTTAAAATGCAAATGGAATGCCTTGAATGACATTTACAGAAAGCAGCTTTCAAATGGGAAAAAAAATATTTAATTTTGTTTCAGTTGATCAATAATTTCTCTTTTTTGCGTCGCGTTGCTGCTTTGCATTTTTCAAATCATTTCCCCCAAGGTTCAAGATGCCATGAACTAGCATACACTTTTTACGGTTTGCAGCTGAACATTTTATGAGCTGTCGACAAGCGCATCTAATTGCTCAGACCGCAGCCCAATCTCTCGCTCGATTTCAATCTTAATAGGAATCTCCGTCTCAGTTGTCGATGTACAATTGCCTGAGGTTTATTTTTTAATATTTATTACGATTTATTATTTGTGATTACAATTTCATTGTGGTGCTGCTCGTGCGCGCATTTGACTAATAAACTGCTTGCGTTTATTAGCTCGTGTCGCCTCGCTTTGATGGCAACACTTTCCAACCAGGCACTTCAATGGCTGATTTAGAGCTTGGGCCACCGCTTAGCGGCGAAATGCTTATAAATTGTGTTTAATTGTTAATTTGTTTTAATTGTTTATAAACGCCGTAGCAAGCCAGTCCACAAACGACTCACAATAATGACAACAAAATTGCTAAGGCGGAGAAACTATAAGAAACGAAGTGGAGCTAGAAACCGTGCTAATTATGTCATTGCCACTACATTGACCCCTGGTTCTGGGTTCTGAGGAACCTTGTTTTCGTACTCACCATTACACTGTTATTGTCGTAGTCCTCGGACAGGCTGCTCTTGCCGCTGGCGCTGCTGGTCCCGATTCCCAGGTCGCTCAGATCGTTCGTCTCGTCCTCGTTGTACACGGCCAGAGAAGCCAGCTTGGCACGCCCCCGAGGTCCGCCCCTTTCAGCCCTGGAAGGAGGATCATACTTAAGAACTGTGCAGGTGTGGAACGAATTTTAAATCTAAAAAAAAGCTAAAAAGCTAAAAGTGTTGGGAGGTTTTCTACAAAAAAGGCACTGTTGCATTCGAGCAGATCCCACAGAACCTTACAGCACTTTGGAGGTGCATGTCCTTGATACATTAAAGCTTTTTTTGAGACACTTCCAACACTTTTTGCAGTCGACCGAAACCGAAACCGAAACAGAAACCGGGACTTGTACTTGCCTCTCCTCCATCATTTCGGTGAATGTTTTCGACTTCCGCCGCATGCGCTCGTGCTCCTCCAGCTCGAGCTTCTTCGTCTCCACCGCTCGATCGATGATGTGCTCGACACGTTTTCGCCTTGATGATTTCCAATTGTCAAGGTTCTGGTTTTTGTTCGCCGTTTATTATTTTTCGTTTGTTGTTTGTCACCGGATCGCATTGTTGGCCGTGTTTTGTTTTGGGGCAGAAAGGCAGCGAAAGTTAGTATAGAAAACGAAATGGGCAGACGTGTAAGTGTAAACGGTCATTGTATTATTCGCACAGGGGAAGTGGTCGAGCAAAAGTTTCTTTAATGGCAATTAAAAAGTTTTGACGCGGCTCGGAACTACGTGACAAAGGTGAAATGTTTCCGAGGCGCGTGAACTTCGCTCGGTTTCTCGACAGCAGTGTTAAAAGAATTTCCGATCCAATCTCGCGTGAATCAGAGAGATGTGCCGATGCTCAGATAGAATCCAATGGTTAAGGGGGGCTTCTCATGTAAAATTTTAAAAAAATCGAAATTTTTTTTTTTTTTCATAAATCGATGGAATAACGTCTTGAGAGTATATTCCCGAAGTTTTATGACTCAACTCTCAATATTATGGAAAATATCAGTGATTGAACGAGCGCGCTCAAGTTCAAGACCCACACTAACTCAAAACTTTAAATCGTTTTTTCTCAAAACTATGTTTTAAAAAACGCGGTACACGATTACGTAAAAACTACTGAACCGATTTTTGATTTCTAAAAAGTGTTTTGCAGATTATACATTGAACGAGTGCGTGAATATCTGAAATTGTGAAAAAAAGTTATTTTATACACTTTTCAGCCCAATTCAGCAAAAAAAAAGACGAAAAAATGGCACTTTTTTTTCAAGACGTGATTTCAATATTTTAAAATCGAATTTTTTGAAGTGGCTGACATTCACGCACTCGGTTGAACCTTGCTGCATACAAAAATTTTTTTTTTTTTTTTTCAGATGAAAACTTTTTGCTCCACACTGTACCGCAATAAGTCCCTCAGCCGCGTCGAGCCACACGCGACCTTGAATAAGTCCGCCATTTTGTTTTTTAGAATTTTCAAAAAATGTTTTTCTCATACTTTAAATATGTCTTCAAATATGTGCAAAAAATTATTCGTGTAAGTTTTCATTTTCCAAGTGAAAAAAATTCCCAAAAAACCACTACTTTTTGGCATGTTACATGAGAAGCCCCCCTTAAGTGTAAAAAGAATGGAAATCCCTTATCCGGGGAACAATTCAATCGTGGTGATAAAGACTGCAAACTCATATTGCCTATCACTGGAAGTTATTTTACTTCCCCGTCTGACTAACAGGTAACAAGCTTCCGCTCGTCTGGTTATTTTATTGATCTGCAAATCTGAATAGAAAATTCGCCTTCTATCGGTGATTCAAAAGTTTTCTCATTCTCAACGAAAAGAAAGCAATTTACCCTAGAGAGCCGTTAAAGCGGCATTTGGACTTCCTTTCCCATCGCAGTCGGTTGCCCATTCTCAAAACGCTGTACGCATTTTAATGGATTTTTTGGTGCTCTTTATTTTTGGCACACACTCGTAAAGCAAAAGTTATGCCTGGGAACCTATGAAGTTTCATTAGACATGATGCCCATGGAGCATTGATCAATCGTCCGAAGGCACTTCAAATGCAGCGACTGCATCGAAATGGCCGATTAGGTAATTAGGCAGGTACAGTCACGTCAAAGGCAGCTCTTCGCCGGGGTTATGGCAGCAGCGAATTTGCATGCAACACACAAAGATTGTGCAAACCAAATAGAAGCGGAAAAAACAGGCGGCGAAAAAACTATCAACAAAATGTAATAGGGATTATGCAACGCAATATCTTTTTGTCCGCTAACGGGCGACGTGCACTGGAAACTGGAGCGACCATAACGAGCTGTGTGCCATGTGCCATGCCCAAGTGGTTTTGCTTTAGTTTATCCGCGGCGATAAGTTTCGGGCAGCCAGAAAAACAAATGGTAGGAGAGAAAGGCCAGTTTCGGGAACAAGTCGCTCAAGTACCCTTTAGTTCAAGTATTTGTCATTATAAAGTATGTTACAGAAGTTTCGGAATTACGGATCGAAACTAGAGAAATAGCTGTTACAAGGATTAAAAAAAATACTTCAATCTAGTATTTCAAATATCTAATATCTAGTATTTCTAGTATATGTATTAAGTGAGTTGAGCACCAGCACATCTGCTCAGAAATAGTCACGATCAGGGTGATATATGACTGGGACTTACGTTCTGCCACTCCTCGGGCTCCTCCTTCTTCACCTCCTTCAGCTTCTTGACCTCCTCGGCCTTCTTCAGCTGCTCCTGCGCGGTCTGGTAGAGGTTGCAGGGCTTGATCTGGACGAACTGCATCGGATTCTTTGAGGGAGCAGGGGGCGTGGGCCGCGTCACTCGCTGCTTGGTCACGTACGATGTGGGATCCGGCGAGGTTACGGTCTGCAATTAGCCATCAAATTCCTAATTAGCATGAATTGCTCTCAATTGAACGGAGTTGGACAAGGGAGCGCAAGGGGGGATAAATTCCGAGGGTCAAATGCAAATGCAATACATCTGCACTCAGATGTCCAGGGCGTGGAGTCATTGATATTGCGTACTCCACCAACGTGTGGGCAGTCATGGCAATACGATTGTATTTCAGCTCTTATATCCCATTAAGTATTAATACTGGCAGCCTTGAGCGGGCCTTAATTACATAAAATATTCAGCGGCTTATATGGAAATTCTGATTGGCCAACACTTGAGGTCGGAGAAAACCTTGGGTCCTTAAGTGATTGGTTTTTGTGATTTATTCATACCTTTTAGAAAGCTCGGTAAGCTCTGAGTCAGATGCATTTAAACAGATTAATAAATGCAATGTCAATATGTTTTTGTCAGTGGTTTCACGGGTTTCAATTGGTTCAGCTTTAAGTGAAATTGACTAAATATTGAAAGCCAAAGCTAACAGTATGGGTGACGCGTAAAATATATAATTTTCCAAATAAGATATAGTTAAATAGGCAATCAACAGACGATCAACATTTAAGATCCTGGACTGTTATAAGCCTGTTTTTCTAAAAGTCAACGTTTTCTCAAGCTGCTACTTAATTTTCTTAACTAAACAAAGCAACTCTAACACCCTTCTAATATTGTGTGCACCAGGCCAAATAAATAAATCTTTGCCTTGTGGGAGGACAATAAAATATTGTAATAAAACTCAATTTTTATAATTCATACTTTAATTTTTTAGCTCTAGCGAACCCTTTGGGGATTTTATGCTGTTTCATTTTGTTTATTACTACTCTCCGCTCTTTTTCAAGCTCGCTTTTACTTTTTTCTGTTGGAAGTGGGTTGAATACACCCACTCATTTGCAGTGGTGCAGTATTCACAGAGCATGGCAAAAGTCAAGCGGTGCAGGGCCATTCAAGCATCGCATATTGCTCGCAAATACTTCCGCCATTATAGTGGCTTCAACTCGCAACTGAAGCGTAGATCCAGAGAACTTAGAAAAACCCTCAAAACCCGTTTAATATTTGTTTGCTTTTTAAGGGAAATTTCTTTAAATTTCTACTGAAACTTAGGTTACTGAAAACAGGTTATAAAGTCTTACCAATTTTTTGGCGCAACCGTTTGGGTCCCCGCCGTTCGTGGACGACGTCGATGTGGACATGAGGTCCTCGCAGCCCTCCTGCATGGCGTCCTGTTCGGTGGCCTCCATTCCTGGCTAAATGGTTCTGCAGCCTGTTCCTGGACGAACTGGGCTCTGCGTTTCTCCGTGGATTTTCTATCCGTTGAGTGTCTCGAGTGCCGATTGGGCTCTGCTCACATGGCAGCTCACTCCTACGCGGGTTTCGTGGCCTCCGGTCACTGGCTCACCATGGCTCCGGCAACTCGGTTCAAAGGCGGCGCGCCACCACCCACGCACCTCGGGCGGGGGCCTGGGAGGTGTCCAATTTCATTAGCTGCAAGACAAGAGATACACCCGGATGAGTATGGAGCGCTTACAGATGCGATAGACTGGAATGACCCCCCCTTCAAGCCTTCAAACTGGTGGGCAGGCAGGTGCCATCTAGGCCGAACTCGTTTCTGGCCTGCATCCGTAAAGGATCTACTGGAGAGCTGGCAGGCATTTCCGCAGCTGAACAATGCTCGAAAAGTGCTGAGCGGAGTTCGATTAACATTCATCAAAGTGCATCCACAAGATGCCCCATCTAATTGCGCAATTGTCTGCCCCCTTGCGTTGCCCTCTGTCTGAGTGGATGCCGCACTGGCCTGGGACCCACACGCTGGTATGCGGGTCAATCTTATAAACTTCTGCCACCGTCACCGTCACCGTCATCATCCCCAGCCCCATCCACCGACCCATCCATGTAGTCATCCGCCTCGTTCGTCATGCGACTGCCGACTGCCTACGAGCTTGTGCTGCTGGGTTTTTGCTGCCTCTTTTCCTGCCCTCCATTCACTCCATGTGACCCGGTATTTTTTGATCGTTTTGCTACGCTTTTCATTCCCTCCTACTAATTAATAACTATTAGGTGGTTCCCCGGTTCGCCGACTTGTAATCGAGCTTGTTTATTAATTTTTTACGAATGCATCCCAGCGTGTTTCGAGTTTTTCCACGAAAGTGGGTTCAAGAGGTTGCGGGAAAAGCGGGCTTTTGCCTTGGGGAAAATGAAGAGGAAGAGCTGCTGGACCGGTATCTGTCATAATTACGGGGTTAATTTGACAGCTGATAGGTATTGGGTATGCCCATGGCTTCCTGAATTGGGAAATACAAACAAATGGAAACCGAAGCCGATCATTAGGTCGTTATTTGTACTGTGATAATGCCCATTAGACGGAATGTGTTCCTAAGGTTCTGCCATCAGCTCAGATTATCAACGGTTTGTCAAAGAATTCTTGCGATTACTAATCTTCTTGGTGTCTGGCGATCTCTCTTCTTTGCACATTTGCATGTCAAATTTGATCAGCACATATAATGTGAGTGCCGACGTACTCAACACTACAGTCTTGTAAGTGGAGAAGACTGGCACTTGAGATTGAGGACTGCAGACAGAAGACTCAAGACTCTGGAAGAGACTCTCCGCTGGCACGAGGCTAATCAACACGAGTTGATGCTGATGTTAGGCATTCGATGCTGATGTTTCGCCTGCTCATTTGCATATAAAATGCAGCAAGCAACATAAGCGCAGGCATTAGATTTAATGAACAACAGCAACGAAAGCCAGCCAAAATTAAGGCAAAACATGTAAATACTGATGTCAATTACAGTCGCAGCTGCAGGGGGTGTTATGCACAGGAACTTTACCTTTGAAGGGTCCTCTGAAATGTTGAAAAAATAATAAAAACAGAAACTGCACTAGAAGTTAGCCATTTGATAAAAATTCTTAAATAGTTCAATAAAGGAATGCAAAATATTTATACAGCAAATTGACCTTGTGGTTTTTGTAGTTTTTAATTGCATATAGCAAAAACAAGCTGCAACAACGCAGCGGCGATAATGGATAACTTTAATGACGACGGCTACAGAAAATTGCAATAATTTAAATTTAACAGAAAGTCAAGACTGCGTTTAAGTTTTACATAAGAAACTCGCCAACTTTCTCAAGTGTTGCGGTGCTTGCCCAGTGTCGACAAATTAACAATAATTATAAGCGAACAAAATAATAGTTGGATGGAAACGGTTAGGAAAAGATCAGCGTCAAATCTTATCTTAATGGCGCCAATCGAGACTCGAAGCCGAGGCGGCCCCTTTTGGTCGGCTTTCAGCTGGAAATCGTATCAAGATGTTTTCCTATGGACCGGGTGCTGAATTAATCTATAATGGCTACTCCGATGGCGCTGACGAGCAGTGAAAGAGAATGAGATGAGCTCCTATGGAAGGGGAATTCTTCTGCTGGAGAACGGCGCGTAAATGGCTCGCAATTGTCTTTGCTTTGGCTTTGGGCCTCTGTTTTAGCTAATTAGCAGCAGCAGTTAGAGCCGCTCAAAAGCGGCTATTGGCCACATCAAAGAAACCTTCAATACAGCGGTCCATACAAAGTGCTGTTTGGGGCAAACAAGGGCAGGGCTTTGACGGGTTTTTAGAAAAAAAAAAAAACTCATTAGATTAGAGAGACAGCATATGGATAATATGTGTTTATTAAAGCGAATTGAATAACTGCTTTATAGAACACAGCACATGCAATGGTTTTCAATTTATTTATTAATTTAAATGATTTATACGGATTTCAATTCATGTGTATTGGATATTATAGTATTTTGTTTTAAATAAAAGACAGTATTTATATTCACTTTGATTTTATATTCAATTTATTCTAATGCGCACACAACCAGCCAGTTCAAGCGATCAGAACGAAGAGAGAGAGAATTAAAGCAGAAATATCGATAACTTCATAAAAGAAAAGGATTAGGCAGTGTGACCACATTTGTGATGTTGGTTTTGATATCATATTCCAACAATGTGACCCAACCAACTTAAGTAAACAGTTCAACTTTTTAGTTCCTGCAGCTATCTTCAGATGATTTTGGGATTACCGTCAAACAGCATAACTCCAGGCACTCAATCACTTCTAGAGACTTCTTCGCTTATTGTTTACCATCGGCTAATACGAATGCAAACAGATCTGCGAGCTCTTAGAAAACGATCATTGTCTGTTCTCCACTCAGAGACGACGGACAAACAATAAGCAGACCGTTCTGTGGCAGCGAAATATCTAATTAAATATTTATCGGGCTGCAATCTGGAGAGGAGCAAATGTATTACCTTATCAGGCGAGTGGAATCAAGATTACGGGGCTCTGAGCTCCAGAACAATGGATGGGCTTGTGTTTTCCGTGCGGAAAACAAACATTAACCCTCTGCCGGCTGCTCCTAGTGGCCACTTAAGCGGAGGCGCTTCGCTAATGATCTGCTGAGCGGAGCGAGGGCATTTGAATGGAGCCCGCGACACTTGTGAGCTGCTCACTCCGCGATTTGGTAACCAGGCCAAAGTGGAGCAGCTCGAAGAGCTGACCAGCTGGAAAGCGGCACTGCAATTAATGTTCAACGTGACTTTAAATTAAAATTGTGTTTCAGCCGGGGAGCGGCCTCGCCCGCCACGAAAAGTGTGAAAAAGAAAAATCACTGAGTGTGTGTGGGGTGTGAGGTGGGTCGACGGTGGAAAATCATCGGTGGGCCCTGGGTGGCGGCGGAGACGAGATGGTGTCAAGCTCCGTTAGCCGCCGGCCACTGACACTAATGACATTCAAATTGTTGCGCCAAAAGAAGCCATAAAAATAAAGCAAGAAAGCCCATGGAAAACAAATCAAAGCGCGACACCGAGAAAGTGCACCAGCACTGAAAAAAACCTCAACTATCCTTCCTTTTTGAAACAGTGAAGAATGCCATGGAGTGAAAGATTACCGCTGCTAACTTCCGTGATATAAAAATATTAGCGTTGCCGTAAATGGGCACGCATTCTGCCCAAAAGTTATCCAAAAACAGTGGCTATTACCGTAACCGGAAACCGGTTACTTCGGTGTTGCCATCTGCTTTTCAAAACTGGATACCATGGATACTATTTTTCACAGTGCAATCCGAGCCAGCGATTCAATCTGCGGTCCGAGCCCGCATCTAAGACCGAATCCGAGTTCGCGGCGTGCAATTGAAAGTGTCGCCGTTTGCTTTGCGGGCGCTGATGTGCAGCCATCACTCACTGAGTCCGACCCACCGATCCGCCCCCAGCACCACCGCCTCCCTCACAACCCCTCACCTCGCCAGCTTGTATCGTGGGTTAACTCATAAATCGAGTCGACGGCCATGCCAAGCGCTTGAATGAGCGCTCTTTCCTCGCGTTACATGTGGCCGCAAGATATCGGGCGCATTAGGTGACATGCCATGCCAAAGCACACTATATATACGTACATAAGTGCACGTCTTCCTCGGACTCCTCAGCTGTCGATTTCACTTGCTCAGTGTTGTGCAATGGCCGAGAGGAGAGGTTAATAGGTGCCAATCAGGGGTATTTGAACCATGGGTGTAAGCCAGTAATAGGATCAAATTCCATCCCAGCCTGTCGACTATCGACTATCGAACATTTTTGGGAAAGGGTATTATTTGGATTAACATTTTTCAAGATAATGACCTAAGACCTTTATGTACAATGTAAAGTATTTAGTAATTGCTTAACATTTTATAAACAATTATCTTATTTAAAAAACAAACTTGTTCACAAAGAAGTCAAGATCAAACATGCTATTTTAAAATGAATAGCTATCAACGATGAGCTTACAAGCGTATTGAAGTGCATTGTGTGGAAGCAATTAGCCCGTTTTGGCGCAACATTGAAAACGAAGATCACAAGCCAATGAAAAACTAAGTAAATATTTCTATAGATTCCGTGATATACCCTCCGATCGAAACGTACAATGTGCACGGTGAAAATCTTTTTTGCCTCTTTGTTGTGGCCACGACTGCTATATTTCTAATTTGGCCCACTCATTTTTCGATTGCATTAATTGAAATATTTTTCAAGCGTGGCCAGAAAACGAAAAATGGAAAGTGAAGTGTGAAGCGAAGTCTCGAATGGCTTTTCAGTTTTTTCTTTGTCTGTCGTTGTTGTTCCCTTTCCAATCACAACTCGGTATGTTAGTACGCTCAACATACATAGCTGGGCAATTATCACGCTGCCACGATCTGAGATCTCAAAAACATGCCCAGCGCGAACTGTTAGACAATTCGACACGCAAAATTTTCAGTTCATTAACATTTCAATATCGATAAGGCCGAAATGCACTTTCGTTCCCCAGAGATACAATCAGCGACAATTGAAATTGTACGAGTGTATCTGTGTATCTGTATCTGGAATCGCGATCTGAATCTGTGAGTTACTGCGCGCGCGGCAGCGCTGGCTTGTGTTAATAATAGTTATTGACTTATCATGGCACATTCTTCTGGCACTGAGTTGCAATTCGCAACTCGC